GTCAAGCAACCCACAATGGTCTAAGATCATGAAGTTGAACAGAAGTTTTTAAAAAATCAGAGTTTCCCTGAAGAAGTGATGATTAAGCAGAGACCTAAGGGAATACTCAAAGTTAATGAGCTGAAGAAAGGCAGGCTAGGGGAGTAGAGTTGTCTTCCAGCAGAGGGCAGGGCAGGTGCCAAGGCCCTGTGGTGGGGAGAGAGCAGAGCTCATACCCTCTGGGGTGTTGTGAAACTTAAACCACATCATCCACAGCAGTAAGGCACTGGTGCCCTGCTTTGCGTGTCTGCCACACGGTAAGCACTCAGGATGTGTTAGCTTTGGTCGGCTCTCATTCTGAGGCAATGTGGGGCCGATTCCTGTTTACACAGGCTGACCTGGAAAGCAAGCGGGTGACCTTTCTGCTTCCCTTATGGGAATGTGGTCTGTGACACTGTGTCTGATTTTTCTGCAACTCATCAACTCTCTGATGTCATTCCCCTGAAAAGCCCTCCCTCCTGCCCCCCATCTCTGCTAGCCCCCGTACCAGGGTTTTACCTAGCACATTCTGTCCTTAGCCGGCCTGCTGAGTTGTTTGTCACCGCTAAGAAGTTTTAGTAGGACTTGCAAATGGCACTGCTGAAATTTCCTCATGAAGCTGGATGTGACAGCGGGGCTTGTGGACATGTGGAAGGTTTTAGACACAGTCTTTTCCCTTGGACCCTTTCTTTGGTCTGGCACACAGCTTGATGCCAGCCTTGCCGCCTAACAGCCTGCCAGAGGACAGGCTGGCCTTTACTGCTTCATCCTCCGCGTCCACTTCCACAGCCTGCTGCCTCGAAAGCAAGAGCCAAGGAAACCCTCAGGCGCACCTTTCTGAGATTCTTGAAGGAGGTTCAGGGGGCGCTGTCTCAGGCTGACACCTGAACCTGGTTTGCATTTAGACCATCAGTTCAGAGCAGGGTCCCAACTCCGCAGAGATTCCTTGGCTTGCCTTTATGCGCGTGAGTTTTTAAAGCAGCCATACATCGCAGTGCTTGAATTGCTAAGACACTTGAGGACGATGTTTTGTTGAGATACCCAGAGGAATAGAAGCATGGTCTGATGCCAACTCCACAGGCTTTTTCACATCCTCAAGTAGACATTAAGCAGATTAACAATTTATGGTGTAGAACCTTGATTCCCCCCGTTGCTCGCCCAGAAGCCCTGAACTAACTAACCACTGTGTGAATATCCAGCTTCGTGTAGTACGCGTTAGACCTGGGGACACGCATTAGACCCCAGGTGTCCATCTTGTAAACTCTCTGGGCGCATAATTATGCGAAGAAATTTAACCAACAAAAATGTACCACGATCTTGTAGCTGGTAAAGAAATTAGCAAAGGCCTCTCCTATACCATTCTCCCCATCCAACACACACACAGACTGCAGGATTCCCAGCGTCCAGAGTCTGTGGCCTTGTTTGGGGACGGATGGGTAGGGCGACTGGCAGTCTCGCTGCAATCTGCTCCTCTGCCCCCCACCTGCTGGAAGTCTGAAGACACCCCATCTTGTATCATGTGCATGTATTGCCTTTAACGGTGTACTTCGCATGCTCTCCAAACCTGGAGACTAATTAATGAGAAGCCTTCTGGTTGGTTAAGGGTGCGGGAACCCTAATTTCTTCTTGCCATCATTTTCTCCCCTCTTCTGTTTTTCACTATTTCCCCAATAATTTCCGCAGGTCCTCTCACCTTCTTCCTCTCAGCATTCCCAAAAAGAATGTGTAGGGTCCACAAGGATGGGAGGATTTTTTTTTTTTAAATCCACAGCTCTATTCCCAGCCCCACCACCCTTGCCTGGCACACGGCAGGCACTCAGCAACTATTTGTCCAATGGATGAATATTTTGTTAGTCCTCCCCTATTTCTAGTTCTCTCTGTGCCATATTCCTACACAGCCGTCCCAAACATGTCCAACCCTGTTTCACACCACTGGAGAAGAGGAGGGAGTACAAGTTACCTGCAAGTCTCACGTGACCTGTAACCCGTATGTCAGCTGGAGTCTCCCAGCCCCTTAAGTAAAGATGTTTTCCTGGGCTCCTGTTCCATGTCCTGTGGCAGTTGAAAGCCCTCTCTCAGATTTGTGCCAGGTCTGGGGGTGGGGTAGGGCTTGACATTCTCAGCTCACTCTGCCTGCAGGCTATTGCCTCTTCCCATCTGTTCAGCCTTGCATTTACACAGATAGAAAACCTAGCCACGTCCTCAGTGCCTGTGTGTGTGTGCGCGCGCACGTTCAGACCAAGCACACCAAGCAGTGTACACCTTGCATTAGCATAGGAGACCCCTTGGCTCCTGGAAGGGCTGTTGCCCACCCTCCACCCCACTCCTGTGATTTCTTTCAGGCTCTTCACCCAAAACAGCTGCCAGCCGTCTTGCTGACTTCTGTCTCTCTCTTATCTCCGCCCTTTCTATAGAGAATAAAAATTTCTCAGGCAGAGTAGCTTAACCATATTGTTGTGATTTGGGTTCCTGACTCCAGATCTCTAGGTTCTCACCTAATGTCTTGAACAGCTCATCCATTAACCTGGATGTCCTAAACTAACATGGAACTGCCCTCCCCCAGGGGCTTGTTCAAAACAAAATAAAAAAATCACTTGGCCTCTGTTGTGGCTACATTTGTGAACTTGACAGAGACGCTAAATATACCTCATAATCACAGGAACACAAGCCTATTGTTCTAACCCAGCATTTCATATAATTAGCAAATATATGCTGATTTTTGAATACATGGTCTCCGGGAAGAAACGCAAGAAGTTGCTAACAGTGGAGAACTCCAGGGAGGGGAACTGAACAAGTTGGGACAGAGATGGAATAAAGACTCCCTTCTCACCATGCACCTTTCTGTACCAAGTATTTCCTGTACTAAAACTCATTGACATCATACCTATATAATGTCAATAAATAAGGTACAGGAAGCCTGATACGCTGGTTACACCAAAGGGATCATACCCAGTGACCTTAAGCCATCTGCGTCATGGGAATAACTGATGTCTAACTTGATAGATTTGGCTCAGAGCCCAGTTCTGGAGAACTTGACTTACACGTCAGTTCTTTCCATTAGAATTTCCTCGTTGGAAATGGCTGAGCTCCTCAGCACACAGTCCTTACACGTCACATGTTTAGGTTACATCATCTAGGTTAGGAGCCCCCAGACTCCTATAGATATATCCCAGGAACCACTTCTTACCTTGGCAAATATTACAAAATAGTTCCTCTTAAAAAGAAATAAATTTTCAGCACCCTTTGGATTTTAAAAGTGCGTCTGATGGAGAAAAAAAATAGCACGTCTGATGAAACAATCTGAGTCATAATAAGGATATAACTGCGGTGTGTTTAGTGCATTACATATGAGTTCATAATTAAACTATACAAACAAGCAAAAAAATCTTGTTGGTTACTTTTGGAGGACCCTAAAAAACCATCTATCATCTCGAAAACTGATAAAAGGGAAGCGCCAAGCATTTATCCTGCTTATATTTACTTATACAAACTGTTTTTTATGATAACTCAAGTAGCTTATAAGGGAAAGTTTCTCTATGGAAGCTGTCTATTAAATAAATGAAGGAGAAGTGATAGAATTTGAATGTCCCCATATTTCAAACCCTACTGACCTAGGCGATGATCATCAGTGGCTGCTAATATCAAAAATAGAGATGTCCTTTGTATTGCCTATAAATTTGTTATGAGGTGTAGAAATTTGAATTAGATTTGATTTCTTTTCAGGAGGAATATTTATAAGGTGTTGTGTCATTATGTGTCTGCTGATGGAAATATATAACGTAAGTATTCCTCCTGAAATAAAAAACAAATCTAAATCCAATCAGATCTCTGTATCTCGAAACAAACTTATAGGAAATATAAAAGAATGGGTTATGTAATATGATGAAGATGCAGTCAGCAAAATTCAGACCTGGTTTCTTCAACAAATGATTGCAAAGGAGAAAAAACAGAGATAAGAAGGAATCTATCTATAGCCTAAAACAGATTTAAGAGACAATCAACCAACAGTAATAAACAGGCTTTTTTTACAACCTGGTTCAAACAAACTGTTTAAAAATAGGTATGGGACTTTTGGGGAAATTAGAATATTGAGTAGATACCTGATAACATTAAATTATTGTTAAAGTTTTAGGTATTAAAGTAATATCATGGTTATAGTCCCCCAAAGTCCTCATCTTTTAGATATATATTAAAATATTTATGGTTGAAACAAAAATTTAAAAACATCTGACATCTATGCTTATATAGATATAAGTCTGTGAAAGGATGTATGAGGGATTTTGATGGTGTGTTGCTTCTGGAACGGAAACTAAGAGTCAGGCTGGGAGAGAAACAAACTTTCAGACAGATCATTACTTACTTTATGCAAGTAATACCTTTTCAGAAGACTAACCAAAAATAAATAGAATGGGAAAAAGGTAATTTGAAGATGCTTGAAATGCTAGTTTGGGAGAATGAGAAGGTATAGACTCAGAGAGCACGTAGATGGATTGACTTAGACCATATTTCTCAAAGTTGGTCCCAGGACCACCTGCATCAGAACTGAGCCCACCTCCCTCGCTGCCAGTCAGATTCTGAGTGAGCGAAGCATAGAGACTTTTGACAAGTACAAGCTTTATAACCTGAGTGCCAGCTTTTCAAATACTTATTACGTTGTTTTGGAACTTTGGAATTCATAGGGCAAAAATACTCCCCAATTGAAATTCAAAGCGCTGCAATTCTGAAAGCCTGAAAAGGCTTTTTTTTTAGATTTGCTGACAATGATTTAATCAGCAGATGTCACTATGTAATACTTAGGAGCATCTCTTCCACATTGCCTCATTTTTGGAAAAGCAGAGTGTGTTGCTGGCATTGTAACACAGAAATATTTATGGTAATTGTGTATTTTGTTTAATGAAAATAATCTTTTTTTTACTTCATTACTTCATTGAAAGTTTCTTTGATTAAGCATTCTTTGACTTTGTGTTTTTTTTTTCCCCCAGCATCATTGACAAAGAAGTTTCATTAATGGCAGAAATGGATAAAGTTAAAGAAGAGGCCAGTAAGTAGACACCTGTTTGTTTGATTTGGAGCCTCCCAATCAGAAGCAATCTGTAGGTCAGATGGACAGTGATATGGATTCTGAGTGGGGTCCTAAAATTCACACTGAAACCCTGGCTCATGAGCTCTGTAACCTTAGGCAAGTCACTTAGCCTCAGGAAACCTCAATAACCTCATGTGGCTGAAAGAGAGTAGTAGCCTACAGAGCACAGGGCAGAAGAGGCACACAGCAAATAATGGGTATCACTGAGTTACTTAAATTCCAAAAGGGCTTTTGTGCATGTAAAGGACTACTTATAGTTAGCTGGGTTTAAAAGGACATTGAATTTCACAGATACAGGAAACAGAGTGGTGGTTACCAGAGGGTAAGAAGGGTGGGGAGAGGACAAAGAGAGTAAAGGGGGTCCAATAGATGGCGACAGATGGAAACTAGACTTCAGGCCGTAAGCACACAATTGAGTATACAGATGTATTCTAAAGTTGCACACCCGAAATTCATATAATGTTTTTAACCAATGTTACCCAAATAAATTTAATAAAATCTTTTAAAATAATAAAATGACATTGAATTTAGTATTAAATTTTGAAACATAACTTTTAAGACTTCACAACTTCCAAATCTTGCTATACTACTTATACAATGCTGTTCCCGTGGTCCTTTTCACCTTCTAGGTTCAATGAACTCAAGTTCAACCAATTAAATTTCCCTAAAAAATTAGTCCCATTTGAAACTTACTTAAATTCCTCTTAACATTTTGAATAACATTTATGAATTTAATACATCTGATTTTTTTTTGAGGTCTTCAGATGCCTGACCAGGCAAACTCAAACCTAATAGGTCAAAGTATTCCACGCTTCTAAGTAACTCTTCTGTGATTAATAATTCAAACTTAGAGAGGTACTTAATGAAGTTTTCTTAAAACACTCCAGTTCTGTTTACAAACTTAGTCAAATTTGCTGACACCTGCCCACTTAACACCTCAAAAGAAAATCAATTACATGTTTTAAATTGAAATCACAAGTGAGATTGCTTAATGTACCAAATACTCGATTTCAATAATGAATGCACTCAGACGATCTTGATGATTGCAAAACTTTTCCTAATTTTAACACAAAATATTAGTACTCTGGGTTTGATTTATTTTATTGTCTTTAAATTTATTTCTAAACCTTTCCACTATTGTGAAGTTACTCAACAGCTAGTGGGGCAGATTTACCATCTCAAATAGTCTGAGGCTCGTGGGTTGGAAATTTCAACCGAGACAAGATAGTCAGGTTCAACACCAAGCCGCAACGGGACATGCTGGGCCCCCTCTTATTATTGAATTCAGTCTGCTGTGTTAATGGGAACCCTAAGACCATATTTTTTCAGCTGGGATTTAGTTGTACAATTCTTATCTCCTGGACATTTTAAATTCTTCATCCTTACCGAAATTTTATCTCTTGAATTGGCTACATGGCAGTCTGCACTTCCAACTAAGTTTCAGCTAAATTCCTTTACATTTGCCTCCAATGCCTTTCTTTTTACCAGAATGAAGAATCAGACCAGATTCTTCATTCTTTTTTTATTTTCCTCGCCTGGTCCTTGGCCAAAATTTAATAGTCCCTTTATGGAAAATACCTATCATTATTTTCATTACACAATTTTTCTAAATAATTTTAAACAAAATTTTAGAATCTAAGACAGAGGAGATTTTATTAAATAAAACTAAATGTGATCCAAGATTAAACCGTGGAATGTTTAGGTAGTTACACAATTCCTTTGATTGTGAAATTGTTTTATTCTTATGAAATTTATTAGTTCTTCAATGAAAATAGTTTTCCACATGACGGGATTTTTCCTGTTTCTCAGGTAAAGCTTATTTTTTTTCTCTTCAGCTTCATGTTCTGTTGGTAAAAACACTTAGAGCCAACACTGACACATGTTTCTCTAATATCAAAATGGAAAGTTACTAGCGCATCACTTTTTAAGAGGTTAACAAAAGACCTCAGATTTCATGTGCTCATTCATTCTTCTTGGGACAATATTCGGTGCTAGGACCTGTGGAATATAGAGCATCTCTGGAGAGCGTCCCTGTTTTTTACAACTCAGTCAATCAAATAAACATTTACTGTGTGCTTCCTTATGTGCTGAGCACTGTTAGTGACTGGGATGAACAGCAAACAGCAACCCATGGGACCTGCATTCAGAACTTTCAGGGGAGCTGAAACAGCTGGACTGGTTGACAGGGTTCACCTAACTTCAGTAACTGGTGCTACAACTCCTGGTGTTAAAACTGCCCAGAGCCCTGGGGAAGCCAATTCATATACACTGGAGGCAGGCAGAACTGAGTTCAAATCCAAGTTCTACCCATTTACTGGCTGTGTGACGGTGAACTAGTTTGTTAACTCCTCAAAATCTATCATTTGCATATCGGAAAAGGGAGAATAAGAATAGTGTCTATCTCAAACAGCTATTATAGAGATAAAATGAGAAAAGACATGGCAGGCACTTAGCACAGTGTATGATACCATATGTGTTCAAAAAAGGAAAAGCTGTTATTAATAAAAAGGTTAGTCCAACCCCCTCATGTGACAGTCAGAAAATGGAGGTCAGAGGGGTTATGTCTTCTCACAGGCAGAAGGAACCATTGAATTTCTCCCCACAAAGTACTGAACTGTCTTTACAGCCACCATCTTGAGCTTGCGTATCTATCGTCTCACAAGTATTTTCCATTTCCTGTACATGGTATAATCTATATTTCCTCAATTATAACATAAGCTCCTATATCCCTCATGGCACCTAACACAATACTGAGAAGACTGTAGGTACTTCATAATATTTGTTAAACAAACTATTGTAATTAAATCATTGTCTATAGGCTGTGGGACCCAATAAAAGTGAACACTAATGTAATTACAAAAGAAGGAAGTATATTCTAGATGAATATATCTCACTTTATTAATAATATGCATAGTTAGCATTTTTTACTATACTGTACTAAACACTTTACATAGGTTATTTCATTTAGTTTCACAGTAACACTTCAAGATGTGTATGATGATTACATTTACAGACGAAGAAACTACGCCCATTGTAGTGCAAACTTTGTCTGCATGCCCAGGGAATTCAAGGCCAACATAGGCATGATCTTGGGGCATCAAGTTTACAAGAGATCTGGAAAGAAAACATTGCTTTACATTAACAGGAATTCAGATATATTATGAAATAAAATGCAAAGTTCACAAGAATTTTTAAGAAAAAAAAAGGATTTCAAAGAATCTTTGTGCTTGAGCGACTTCTGCCCCAGCTCTTGGCCACCTCCAGGATTTCAAGTACACCCTCTGCTAAAGAGTGTTATTGGAGAAGCCCCAAAATACTCCATGGTTCAAGCAATAAGAGCAAGCTTCCAATGTGTTCCAAAAACTTGACGGAATTTATAAATCCTATTGAGAAAATGTATTTCAGCATGCCAGATACTGTTTATAAAAGCACCTAAATAATATTAACGAAGTCCTGATGCCATGAAAATCTAAAGCTGTGTGGGAACTGTCTCCCTCTACAGAGTTACGAAAGGGTGGTGTTTTCAAAATATATTTACTATGCTATTTTAAATTTTAGAATCAGTGAATCTTAGAATCTGATCTTATTTTGGTGTTGCTTTTTATTTCTGTGATTGATGTTTTTGAGGTGAAAATGTTGCTCCCCGCAAAGAATATTGGCTTTACATCTCAAGTTTTAAGGCTTTTTCATAAAGAAAGGCTTTGAAATGTTAATGAGACTATACGTAAACCTCATCCCATCACTTGCTGATGCAAAGTATTCATTTCCATGCACATTTGCATGAGTGTAAACTCAGGATTTATTGGTGATCTTGCACCTGCATTCCTATTTTAGGGCCCTCTTATATCTATTTCTATAAAATCTTTTGTTTGATGTGAATGCCCAAGTTCTACTTAATCAAAAAGAACAATTGCCCCTAATTGTTACCAGTCCAATAAATGATCCATTAAGAAAAGTCAGATCTGTTTAACTGTATAGTCACTCAGGGTCTGCTTACCCCTTTACTTATTAGCTGTTTGTCAAGGCTGGGCCTTCTAATTTTTTCTTTTTAATCTTTGCAAGAAGAAAGTACTTCATTTCATCTTCTTACTCAAGAATCGTTTTCTCATGCTCCAGACATGAGTCCCTTCCATAGGCTGAATTATAATGGCCAAGAAATAAATAATCAAAGGTATGAGTCCTAGACATTCTAATGCGGCCCCTGTAGAAAAGGAACTTCTGTCCTTCTCTGCATATTCCTTTTAAGTAACGGATTGATGTGTTCATTCAATCCTTCATTCAGCAAACATATTGGGCACACACTGTGTACCAGGCTATCAATGTTGTAGACACAATAACTACATGTGCAATCTCTGCTGTGATTGAAGATGCCTCCAGGGGCCAGGCAGGTAACATTAGTCAGCTGAGCAGGGCAGGGAGGGACCAAGGTGCGCTGGCCACCATGCTTCATCTAAGAAGGGCAGTGAGCCCTCGGCTCTGGCCAGTTATTGCCACATGGGAATGCTGGTCAACTATGGCCAGAAATTCCAATATTTTAAGAGATGCCAGAAATTCAGCTTTCAAATGGAATCTTCTAATTTTCAAATGTGGGCAGTTAATTTGAAAACTTAACTTGTAATGTATGGACCAAACAAACCATGTGTACTCTGTAGCCAAAAGTAATAGTGGGCCACCTTTTTGTGACCTCTAGTCTGATGGGGTAAACTTGGACATCATTCAGTAATACATTGTCTATGTTCAGATGAAAATTCCTTTCACTTCCATCATCAGGACAAGTTTTTCACTAGCTCTTCTGTATTCTAAAAGACCATCAAGCACAGATCAGCCTCTGCCCAGCTACATGGTATTGTAAGTGGGAGGCAGGGGAGTCCTGGTAAATAATCAAAGCATGATTAGAGTAGTTTGGTAGATGATAAGGCTTTACGAGTTACAGATTACTTATTTTATTGACATCTCAACATTGATATCAGCATAAAAATATAATGTTTCTCAGACTGTCTGGAGAATGGTTTATGGTTTGCAGGAACTCTTAACTCTTGATTGCTACTGAACTTCTTTTGGGGTTTCTAAGATCACTATTTTTGACATTTATAAATTAAGAACTCTTACAATGAGAAATCACGTTGTTGGGCTCTGCATGGCTGCTGTGAATCAGGTCCAACGAAGCAGCTGACCTTAGTTCAGCCAAGAATAAAATGTGAATTCAACATGCATATCATCTTAGATAAACTTCTCTTTTCTTATAACTCAAAATACTTGTCCAAAAGAAACATTTCATATGTGGCTTGAATTAGAGAGCTACAAGTCTGTCTATTGAAAGATCAGACTTCCTATTTAAATCTCACCCGATGGGTTTGTATTCATTGCTTTTGAATCTCCATAATCTTTGGGAAAACACAGACACAAATACACACACACACACACACACACACACACACTAACTTGCAAGCTACTATGTCTACTTGAACCTTTAGTTCATCTGACAGATGTGTGAATGTGGTGCCAGAGAACTCCCTGCTGTCTTCTTGTGCAGATGCTAAAGAGCGCACACAAATCCAATTCAAAGGGGCTTTGACTCACCCTTGAAATTTTTCCATTGGGGCCACTTATAACAAAGACAGGACACTGGATGCTCTGCTCTGTAACTTCTGTCTGATTGCAAAATGGAAACATATCTGCACAGTATCAAAAGAAGAGGAATTTCGGGCCGGCCGAGTGGTGCGTTAAGAGCTGGCTTGGGATGCCAGAGGGCCCCGGTTTGGATCCCACATTAGGGCCAGTGACGCTGCGCCCTCCACAGCTAAGATGGTGAACAACAGCTCAACCTGGAGCTGGGCTTCTGTGGGTTGCTGAAGATGGCGAAGGCTGCAGCTCCTGCTGCCATAAGCTACCGTGTGTGGCCGGCAGCTGGCATGGGCGGGCGGCAGGCAGCCAATGTGAGCTGCCAAGAGCCGCCGTGAGCAGCCGTGCAGTGGCCGGTGACCGATCTGCCTTACCCAGGAAGAGCGCAATGATAATACCAACATGGGCCAGTGGGGCGACGTCCTCCACAACTAGGCTGAAGAACAAAAAGCACAGCAACTTGCCTGTTCCCCTTCCCCAATTCCTGGATTCCCCAGCACTGTTCCTATCCCCCAATTCCCCAATAGAAAAAAAAGAAAAGAAGAAGAGGAATTTTTTTTTTTAGCTCACAAATAAACTAATAAAGTAAAACCCTTATGTCATATTCCAATAACACAGCTAGTTGCCCTAAAGGAGTATGTGTTAAAGATCATAAGGTCTGATGCTGTTCGAATTTAATAGTACAGCACATAGAATGGGTTTTGCTTAATGAATGTCCTAACTTTGCAATACCATTCAGATAGGATTTTAATAACTATCTTTTTCAAAAAGAGCTGTTCTGAGTAAGACACAAATTTAAAAGTCCAAATTAAGTAAATGAGATCAGATACCAATGAAGAAAACGAAGTTGGTGGTGGGCGTACAGTGAATCGGAGGATCATGTTTGGCTTGGGTATTGGTGGGTAAGGACATGCAGAAATGGGTGGTTGGTAATGAGCACCAATGGTAAACCCACCCCGATGACCAACTCAGAAAACACAGCCGTGGTCCAATAAAGCAATCAGTCTGTGGAGGTAGAACTGATTCCAAGAAATTAGGTCATTGAATATGTTTAAATCTCTGGCCCTAATGTAGTATTCCTTCTTATTTGGCAGTGGAAATCCTGACTGCTCGTCAGAAGAAAGCAGAAGAACTAAAGAGACTTACTGACCTAGCCAGTCAGATGGCAGAGATGCAACTGGCCGAACTCAGGGCAGAAATTAAGGTCAGTTCTAAAATATCACAGCCTGAACTCTGAGCCAGAGATCCCCATTATGTTTGCGTTGCACCCAGAGTGCTACTCTGAGGCTCTAACATCATCCACCCAGCTCCCTTTCACAAGGTTGAACAGAGAACAGAAGGGTGAAGAACTATCTAATCACTGTATTTAAGTATACTACGGTTTGAAGGGCTCTGTTAGTACAGAGGAGAAGTACAAGCTGTTTTCTTAGTGGAGACTGACCTACATAAAATGTATTCAACCATGAATTATAGCTGGGATGGGGGATATTATTTTCACCACATGTAATTTATGTGTATGTAATAAACACACACGTGCACATGCACATATGAACTTGGTGTAACAGTAAAGATTCTAAAGAATGCACAATACGTGGAGACTTTATTCCTATGTTCTTGTCTAGCTTAAGAATCCCACCCACAAGTATGTATTTATTAGATTTCTTCAGTTGCAAGCAACAGAAGCTGACCCTGGCTCACCTCAAGAACAAGTAGGATTTGAAAGAGTATGAGGGTAGCTCAGCAAGACAGTGTGATCTGAAGACTCCAGGCTGCACTTAGGCAGAAACCTGGGCAGTCGCCAGGTAATACAGGCACAGGATTGCCAGACACCCTTCAGGGCACCAGCAGAGCGAGCAATCTCCAGACATCACCAGCCTTATGCCACCCCACTTGATTCAAATCCCAAAGAGAGATCCTGATTGGCCGCCACTTGGGCCACATCCACCATTTAGCAGAGATTGGTCTTGATTGACAGACCCACCCAGACTGTGAATCTTTGAAACTACAGTTACCAGAGAGAAAAATGGGTACCAGAAAGGCAAAAACAAGTATGTACAACAAAAGAGGAATTTACAGTTTATAAGTTTCCCCTCTCTCTCTCTCCCTCTCTCTCTCTCTCTCTCTCTCTCTCTCTCTCTCTCTCTCTCTCTCTCTCTCTCTCTCTCTCTCTCTCTCTCTCTCTCTCTCTCTCTCTCTCTCTCTCCAGCTTCTGACCCACTTCTTGGGAACTAGAGTACTTTGAAGACACAGTTAGTTGCTGCAGGCTTTATAAGTAGGATGGTTTGCTCATCTGGGCAGAAAACTGGCTGGGTATGGTAGAAAGTGGCAAGTAACTTTTAGGTACCCTCCGTTTTGGTTAGGCATGAAACGGAACCTCACGGGGATAAGGACCACCCTCCTCCCAGAGGGCCCTGAGAAGCTCTAGAGGGCTTTTCTTTCTCACCTTCTCTTCTGTCCCTTGTTGCCTCCCACTCACTCAACTGCCATGGCCTCCTAATGAGTTATACCCCAGAGCATATCTGGTCTTCCCCTCAGAATGAAACCCACGACTAGACTCCAGTACATATTTCCCAACATCTATCTCCCCCACCCCTTATTAGAACATCAAGTGAGGACTATGAAGTTACCAGTTTCCTAGTCTGTTGAAACCTACTCATCTTCCAAGTCTCATTTCTGCCAATCAAAATCCCACTCAACATAAAACAGGCTTTGGGGTGAAAAAGTCTAGCTCCTGCAACCTTGGATAAATTACATATTGTTAGAACCTCAATTCCCCCTCTGTAAAATAGAGATAATAATAGTACTGACTTCATAATACTATGATCAGATGAATATGAGATAATCTCTTAAAAATTTGGCCCATGTCTGGTAAGGGTTCAATAATTTTTTTAATGTTCCAGGTCAAATGCTTCCTCTTACATAACTCCTCATTCCCCTCACAGGATAATTTCTTCCTTTTTTATATTTCTAAAGCACCTACCGCATTCTACCCTATATTGTATTTAGTGGGATCCCTTTCCCTTGCCACGTGGTAAACTCTGGTAAACTCAAGGAGGGGCTGAGTCATAGTTATTTCTGTACCTCTCACTCTGCCATCTACGCATCGATCTGAATTTTAAATGAATTGAGAAATAATCTCTTCCCCACTTCCTTTAACAGCACTTGGAATTTTACCATTCAAGATAATGTTTCTAGTTACTAAAGGCTGTGGACATCCTGATTCCCTATTAAAATAGAGATGGATGTCTAGGGTAGGATAACATGCTTCTCTTGAGAAGTAATACCTGAGCACACCATTGGTCAAATTTGGAAGACTGCCCGAATGCAACCCCAAAATGTGCAACAGGACATAAAATGCTGGAAGGAGGGCAGGGAGTGCTGAAAGGTTACATGGATGAGTCCATTTTGCCTGTATCAGTTTTGTTTAAGCTCAGGCAGAGGAAAGACAGGACCCACACATATTCCCAGAACAAGAAGGTGATCATTCCAGGCAGGTCAAAACCACGCGTGATTCAGTGGATTCTCCCGGGGACAGAGCTGGCGTGGTTAACGCCATCCGTGGTAGCAGACGAGTAGAGTGAACACATCTGCAGTGTGCCTGTCATTTCTGTCATTGGAGAACTCCTGGTTTATTTCTCTTTCTTCAGCACTTTGTCAGCGAGCGTAAATATGATGAAGAGCTCGGGAAAGCGGCCCGATTCTCCTGTGACATTGAACAGCTCAAGGCCCAAATCATGCTCTGCGGAGAAAGTAAGTTTTGCATACTTGCTAAATAATTCTGTGTGAAGAAGCCTGGTGCTATTTGGAGTTAATACCAGAAATGTCAGGCGCGCTGTCCCCCAGGGAGGCTAAAGTGAGGTCTAAAGAGATTTAATGATCTAAGGTCATGACACAAGTCACTAGAAATGTCAAGATTTGAACTTAGAGTCTTCAAATGCCACTGCCCATCAGTAAATCCCCAGGATTTACTAAGCGGAACAGAACAGGTCGACTAGTTTATACCTTTTGCAAACTTTTATTAATCACTGCCAGATAATCTGCTTCTCTCATTTCAAATAGCCTGGTTCTGCAGAGATCTGTTACACGGAGAGTGAGTCTTCCTAATAAGTCTGGGAACAATCGGCTACTGTCGTGAAGAGCCCAGCTGTTGTGTGTGTGCTGCTCTGCAGTGCCTGAAGCCTCTCCCCAGGTTCTGTGCTGAGTGAAGTCTGCAGATAATGAGAGACTTCACTTCAGCCATTAGCTTTATTCTGGTTCGCTATTCAGCCTTAATTAGAGCAACTAATGTGCAACAAAATTGGCTGATACGTTTTTTCCCCTGCTCCAGCCCACCCACCAAAGGAGGTGGCAATGAGCACTCAAGTGGCTATAAGGACGGCCACAAGATGGAAAGAAGGACTAGTGAGGGACATGGAATATGGCCACAGTCATAAAATAGTCAGTGGACAAATTGAGATTTGGCTATTTTCAGAGTGGAAATTGCTTTTTGTTCCTGAGTATAAAAAAAATAATAAGCTTGATCTGAAAGTTACAGAACTGTATTAAACAGAACAAGACATTACTTTTGTGTATCCTTCACACTTTTTATGCACATATAGCCTATATAAATTATATATTACATATACAATTATACTATATATAATTTGCTATGCTATACTACATATATATAGTAATATTATTTGTTTTTATTTCACAATATATGGTTGACATTTTTCCATGTCAATATACTTAATCCATAGTTTATTTAAATAAAGTTTGTGTAAGTGGTCCTGTAACTGTGGACATTTAGGTTGCTTCCAGTTTTCACCATTAAAATAACACTGCTGTGAGCATGCTTATCCACATATCTTTGGCAATTATCTGATTTTCTAACTGCATTTCTTTTCAATTCTTTTTTTTTTCTGTATGCCCCCTCCCTTATGACAGAATCTATGCATTTGCTATTCTCCTCCTCCAGCTTTTGCCCCCTCTCTGAAAAAGCCATCAGTCTGGTTCACAGTTGGAAATTGAACTGCCCATCCTGCTTTCCACTTCAGCCTGATGATAAGCTGGAGCCAGATGGATGCCAAATGACTGTCACCGATCTGAGGGGTGGGAGTGTGCAGCTCACCTGCTTTCCTCCAGAGCACTTGCAGTGACATCTAGTGGAAGGAAGCAAATTCCAAGTGTCCACATGAAAGACAGCCTCCCGTGTTGGAGACAAGAGTCTTCCAAAGGCCCTTCTCAGCTTAGTTAAGAGCACATTAAATGCCCACAGCTGCTGCAGCAGCAGTAGTGGCCTCTGAGCTGTAGGAAGTAATGGCCCCATGAAATGGAATCCAGTGACTACAAGAGCCACTGAACTTCCCTGGGATATTTGCACAGCCCCCAATGCACCATCACACCTTACCTATAAAATGAAAGGACTAGAGATACATCCCAGTCCTTCCCACTGCTAATGTTCTCTGATCCCCACAAGTCACTCCTAATCCTCTGGAAGAATCCTAGGATTAAGTCTGATCCATCAACAGGTCACAGGGAAAATTGCTTTTAAAAATTGGTGACAATCTTAAGATTCAAAGGTTTTGCTGTCCAGCCTGGCAGTCGAATTCTGGTGACCTGTGAGAGGGAGTCATGACTTGATCCTTGAATTGATGTCCTCAGGCCCCAATTCAGCAAAACAGTCTAGAAATCATGCCATCAGAAACCACCTTTTTCAAAACCAGCAGGAATGATGATAATAAACATTGAACAGACCTGCCTGAGCCCTGTGGGGACCTGTCTGATTACCCTGAATTGACATTAGCATTGGAATTGGTGCATATTTGCAGTGGAGCTGTAGAAAATGGGTTTGATAAAGGCCAGATGATGCAGCTCTAGTGGAATATAAAAGATGCATTACAGCATCTTTGGGGCTGCCAGACCTAGCCCTATGGTCAGGGGATATGCACGACTCAGGGTGACAAAGTCCCTGATACCGACATCACCCCAGTCCCATGCTCCCAGAACATCATGGCTCTGATGAGCCAAGTGTCCACGCACCCCCTGCTCTTCCCACATGTCTGCAGCACCGACAGTCTAGGGATCTGACAAGGACAGCAGAGTACATTTGTGGACAGGGCCAAGAGGGCCCTTCAAGATTTACTGTCCCTTTTCCCTTGGCAATTCTTGACCTACAGAATAATATTAGAGTTACTCAGATATGTCTTTTTTCCTATAAATGTCTCCCAACTTGGGTGATTGTGCTGTAATCACAGTTCAGTGATTCTCACAGAAGAAATTTGGTGATCTCCAAGCACCAAGGTGCCTTTTCAAATGACATATTCCAAAAAACTTAATGTTTTTATGACGCTTCTGCCAATTTCTTCATCTCCTAATGGATTACCAATGCAACCATGTTTGTCGCACAGCCTTTAACGCCTAGTGCTTTCTTGTTGCAGTTACACATCCAAAGAACAACTACTCCTCTAGAACTCCCTGCAGCTCCCTGCTGCCGCTGCTGAACGCTCATGCAGCAACCTCTGGAAAACAGAGTAACTTTTCCAGAAAACCATCCAACCACAACAAGCCCTCTGAGGGTAAAGCAGCAAATCCCAAAATGGCGAGCAACCATCCCAGCACCGTGGACAGCTCTCACCAGGTGATGCCGCCTAACAAGCAGGTAAGCATTTCTGGGGAGGCTCCGTGCACTGCCTGCAGGGGTCCCACAGACCCCGGTGCTTGGTGCCTGGGAGAAACTACTCATTTGCAAAGGAATAAAACAGCAAATACTAGACACAGAGCTTCCTGGGGTCCACCCAGGCTTGTTCTTTGCTCATTATTAAACCCCGTACTAAAAGTAAGTCAAAAATATACTCTGAGTTTCCCTTTCACAAATTCTTTAAAAACAAAGGAGGTCAGTTATAAAAATAGACACAGGGATGTAAAGTACAGCATAGGGAGTATAGTCAATAATATTGTAATAACTATGTATGATATCAGCTGGGTACTAGACTTATTGGGATGATCACGTCATAAGTTAGATAAATGGCTAACCATTATGTTCTACACCTGAAACTAATAATATTTTGTATGTAGACTGTCATTGAAATTTTTTTTTAAAAATTTAATCAACATTAAAAAACAAAGGCGGCCAGATTAAATGCTAGCTACAGTTACTTTTTCAGCTCACTGTTTTACATTTCCAGCAAAGCATTTCAGGCCATGGCCCATTTAAGTTGAAATATACTTATATATATCGAAGCTAGGATACTGTAGACCCAGGCAAGACGGGCCTTGTGTGGGGCGCTGTGCTTGACAGTAACCCCTCTGGGCCCTCCCCCAGCCATGGCCCTCCCTACAAAGCAAGACCAAGGAGATGTGACTCCCTAGAATCTGTCCTCTCCCTTCTGGAAAGGACTCCAAGTACTCAAGATCCTGGAATTCTGGAATTCCTGAGCCTGCTCTCGAGGTCTGTTTAGATCACTTCCCTGTATACATCATCTTGAAGTTGTAGCACATTACCAGTTTACACATCCCGAGGTCCAAAGAGTGATTATTTGTGGGGCCGGGGACAAAGCTGAGGTGTGCCGGCTGAAGTGTCCACATTCACATGTTCAAAGCCCCCTCACAATGTGTGACGGGGTCAGAGGTGGGAAGACACAATATTCAGGGCAGATGGCACGCGGGCCTGCCTTTGTACTGTTGCCCTGAGCCCTGAATTATTAGAGATGGGTCTGCCCTAAACCTATACCATCCAGTCACAGTGCACAAATTAATAACCGTATATGTTTATAAGTCATAAAATTATACACCTTAACAATAGAAGTTTGGTTTTCAATAAAGGTCTGTGTTCATGTAACAACCTGTCTGTGAACCTTGTCAGGAAACTAGATGTGACAGACATGGGAATGGCTCCATTTTCTAACTGTAGGCCTTGGGCAGGTCCCTTAAATTTATTTTCCTCACCTATAAAATAAAACAAATAATAGCAACTATTTTAAGAACGATTGTGATGACAAATGAGATGGCAACCGGCACACTGTAAGCACTCAGTAAAGTGGTGGCAATTATTGACTTCAAAGAGTTCAAAAATCTTTCCCTTGTACAGAGACAGACAGAATAACCCATTGCTTCCTCTCTGCCCATCCCTTTATGTTCTTGGTTGCCAGCTTGTTGAAGGTGGCCAATTTTTCAGTGTGATGCTTCCAAATTCGTTGGCTGAGAACTGCAAAACTTCTCTGAAAATATTACCTCCACATCCCACCGAGATCTCTCAGATACACCTCATCCCTGTATTGACCCAAGATAATATTTCTGAACTCTGATATTTGTTTTGAAATATAATAGAAAAACTGCCTTAGAGAAGAAAAGTTATAAATAGAATTTTACATTTTTCTTCATAAATGTGATGAGAATGCTTATATGTAGTCTATACAGCATGTCCCCCAAATGTTCAGGGTAGAGAAGCGTCATCGCCCTGCTTCTGTTACATTTCATTCTGATATATTTGAAGCATCCTTGCTGGGCTTTATTTGGCTTGGTTCTTGAATTGTCTGTCTTATACTTCTGTGACCTCACTTTCAACATCAGTAATTCTCTTGGTGATCCATTTACAAGATAGTCCACTCTTCTATTAAGCTTGAGGATTTTATCAGCTTGACCTCATTTTCATGTTGCCATATTCTTAGATGCAAAAAAAAAAAAACTTACCTGTGGCTTAGAGATTTGGTTTCCTTGAGGTCTACCGATGTCATCTGTGGTTTATTGGCATCTAATACCTCATTCCTTTCTTTCTTTGATAGAATGGGTCTTCTAGCCAAAGACGAAGATTTAATCCACAGTATCATAACAACAGGCTAAATGGGTCTGCCAAGCCACAGGGCAGTGGTAATGAAGCTGATCCGATGGGGAAAGGCAACAACCGCCACGAACACAGAAGACAGCCGCACAACGGCTTCCGTCCCAAAAACAAAGGCGGCACCAAAAATCAAGAGGCCTCTTTGGGGACAAAGACCCCCGACACCCCAGCCCATTCGGAAAAGCCCCGACGAAGGCAGCACGCAGCAGACAACGCGGACGCCAGGCCTTTCCGGGGAAACGTCGCTAGGGTTTCACAGTGCAATCTCTGTCCAACGAGAATAGAAGTTTCCACAGATGCCACGGTTCTCGCAGTCCCAGCTGTGACGTTGGTGGCCTGAGCTAGGAGAGAAAAAAAGCAGTTTTCACTCAGTTTTGGTTCCCTGCCCAAGGTGCTGACCCAATTCGCTGCCAAAAGAGAGTCAATCAGAATAGACAAACCCTGTATGGTTGTGTCATCCTCTCTTAATCATTTTTACTAATTCTAATAATCCGCTCTAGCTTGCTTCATAACTTTCATGGCTTTGCTTGATCTGTTGATGCATTTTCTCATCAAGACATTGCAGCATTTAGCCAGGCAGTATTTACTCATTTGTTAGGAAAATCAACATGTGGCTAAAGATCAGAGGCTCAGTAGCAACCTATGTTGTAGCAGTGATGTCAGTCCATTGATCGATCGTCTTTAGAGAGTTAATGTTTAAAAAAAAAAATTCTTATTGATCAGACAAACATGATCTGCTGAAGACACATGCGCTTTTGTAGAATTTAACATCTGGTGTTTTTCTGAAATATATATATATATATACATATATTGCTTTATTTGAAACAAATTAAAATATGCTGCATTTCACCCCCGGCTTGTTTCTTTTATTGATGCCCACTTTCAAGTAGAGACCAGAGGTTGTGGCCCAGAGCTCTGTACAATACGGTTTCTCTTTGGGACACGTGTCCTTTCAGAAAACATAATGCCTCACAATGGCCCCTGCCAGTACCTTACACACATACAGATGGATATGCAACCCAGTCATCTTAGATACTGTGTGGCATTGTGAAACCTTGGTTGCAGGGAACATAAACCTCAGCTCAGCCTAATTTCAACAATAAGCTTGCATTGGTTCAGTGACCGAAAAGTCCAGTATCAAAGTATGTCTTGAGTCCAATTTGATCCAAAGGGCTTTCTCTTGATTATCTCAGTTCTCCCATCCTCATTAGGCTGACATTGGATTTAGAATGAGTAGAAAATGACTGGCTCCTGAGATTCAGTTTCATCCCCACACTGTTCAGAAGAGAGAAGCTTTCCAGGTAGCATCCACATGGAGCAGTGTCTTTCGCAGAGACCCCAGCAAAGGTTTTGCATTTCATTGGCCCAGATGGCTGGTTAGCTCGTCCCTAAACCAATCATCCAAGTGTGGGAGGAAACAGCAAATGAGATGTACTATTTAGCATAGACTAATCAGCTCACCTGTGGAGCTGAGATGTGGCCAGCTCTCTAGAAGCACAGGGGGCTGTGTGGAGGAGAGCTAGTGCTACCTCATGAAGGAAGAATGCGTACTGGGGAGCCCAAGCCCCAAGCAGCCCCAAGTCCCTATCTTTGACTGCAAGGCAGCTCAGTGTGGATACTGCTTCCCATCAGACTGCCATGTGTCCTAGAGATTTGTTGGTCTCTTTCAAGTGCAAATGCTTATTTTCAGCTCAACATTTTGTCTGGCAAACGAGCAAGGTGCAGCGTCCTCTTCCCCAGCACAGCCCTGAGCCGCTGAGCCTGCCTGCCACGCAAGCATCCGTTTCTTCTCCTGCCAAGTGCGGGAGGATGTTTGCTTTCTCTGTAGAGGACTTTCTGAGGTCTCTGGGTGTACCCAGAGATTTAATAGGAATTTTAAATGTTAAGTCACATTCCAGGAAGGAAGGAAGAGTTTGTTCAAATAAGAAAGATAAATGTTCAGGACTGCCATTCCCCGTTTACTCCATCTGAGGCCCTGGATTTATATTTTACAAGACAGAAGTACTTTGTACAGATTTTGTGTAACAAGATTTGGCTCACCACTGGAAAAAGAAGTGTTTATATGTGACAGCTTTAAAGATGAGTCAAATAATTCTTGTAACAGGAAAACAATGGTTAGCCAGGTCAGGAGTGCACCTGCGTTTGTCAGGATTGGACCCAACCACTCTCAACTCTGACTCACTCGTTCAAGTTGCTCTCAGGGTTAAGAAAGCTCAAATGCATTCCTAAACACAGAGCAAATGCTCCCAGTTCACTGCAAAGAAACAAAAATGCTAAAAAAAATGTTGATGATCTCTTTTCCTAGCTTTTGCCTTACTTGTAGCCCCTAGATATGTGAGCATATTAATTTGCATTTTGAAACAGTAATTTCAATATTTTAGTGTCAGGCCACTGAAATACTATATTACTAAATACTAGTCACTGTTCTAGTGGAACCATTGGTGTGATCCTAGAGATCTGGGTTGAATTCTGCCATTCTTTTAAACTGTTTTAAACTCCTGTTTAAAAACCCACTGACTAGGAACACTCAAACATTTCTCTAGTAGAGGTTAAAACATTTTAATACCCATGAAGATGAAATAACTCACCTGCTTGTCCCAAGACTCCATTTGTGAAATTCAACTCTCTCTGTTGGGCTCCTAATTACATTCCATATTTACATTTCATTTGAGAATCTCTACCTACTCCAGCTGAATGCAGCAAGTCTCAGAAAGTTAAACATAAATCAGTACAAATTTCAGCCTCAGCAAAGGCCATACAAGAACTTGGAGGAAGAAACCAGAAACACACCATATCCAATTTAAAGGTCAGTTCACGAGCCGTTCAATTCTGCTGGCATCTATTGGGTTGTCGGAAACGTCATGACGTATTTTTTCTGTTTTTCGTTGCAAAAATGCCTCATGACGTTTCCGACAACCCAATAAAAAGAGATTCTTATTAAGCATTCTTTGGGAAGCCACATCTAATGAGGTTAATGGCAAAAGTTGCCAGATCAAAAGTGACCTACAGATTTTTGCCAAAGAGAGATTTGGGAATTCTGACTCTGAAAGCTGAGGTCTGAGCCTCAATCTTGATTTAACCATGAGAAGAGGGGATCCAGGGTCTGGACAGTTCGTTTCCTAGGGCAACTAGGAAGAAGGGGGAACGGAGAGAGCAAGGAGACAGGGAGATGCTTGCGTCCGACACCACCTTTGACTAAGCTTCCTCTCTCCCTCCCTCCGTCCCCGCCTTTCCAGTGTACTGTGTCCCACACTGCCTGTTTAGAGTGCCCTCTTATGACTAGAGATGGTAAGATTTTAATTTCTCAGCAGACATTCGAGGGACGGCATCCAGGAAATACTTAATGGTACCTTTTTTACCACACTTGCTTCGGAGACCATACCTAAAACTCAGGCACAGGTGGGCTAGGATTCCAGATTGCTCCCAGGAACCAAAAAAGCAAAAAAGAAAGAGCCAGTCACTTGCTCCCCAATTTCCTAAGCAAACTATAAAACAGCAAATAATAATAATAATAAATCTTAATTGGCTAATACACTGCTCCAGAGTTTTTCTGAAAATACGGATCCATCTTAACTACTCTAATTTGGTGAGAAAAAAATATAATGAGTTGCTAAATCCCAGGGATTCTTTTGTTAGCTCAGAATTTGAAGTGCAATTTTATACTATTCATTGCAAGCTATTACCAGAATGTTTTTCACCCTTTTGCTTTTTCCAACAAGCTTTTTAAATCCTAAGGAAGTTTTTTTTTTTTTTAATCTATTATTAGTTTCTGAGAACCAGGTCCCAGTCCTTGGAGGCAGATCAGCAGAAAGCAGTGTTTAATCTCATTACAGCAGCCCCTCAGGCAAAGGCACTCTGGTCTGGATCTAGTCATGCTATCTGAGAAACGCAGTATTGCTCTCATCACACAAGGTTCTTACAAATTATTTTTGGTGATTGATTTTCAAAAGCCCCCTTGAAACTGCATTTTCCTGCAGCTCTGGAGAACATTTTTGGTGCTACCACTAAGTTCAAGTTTCACAGGAGAAATTGACGCACACGGTTTTTAGAGAATAAATAAATTCTAAAGTAAATGTGTTTATTTGCCTGAGAAAGTATGTAAATTTCTGGCAAAAAAAAAGTATATTTCAAAACCATGACTGCGACAATAATCAAAGAATTCCTACAGAAAATAAATGTAAAAAGTCTTCATGTCAAACACAAAAAAACCTATTTTTAACTTCAGATACTTAAGTTTGAATTATATTTACCTATTCCTAGTCTTTTGAGAGAACACACATTTTCTGTAAATGACTATCATTACGTAGCAAGCCAGCCCATAATGTCATCACTCCTATGACAATGCCTGAGACACAGTGATACTCAGTAAATACAAGGAAGAGAGAGCAGATATGAAAGTGACCAACTCCGATACCCCTAGAAAACTCTGTAGTCTAAGTGGCTTGTGAAAATAATCCAGAGAAGATGGAAAGAGAGCAGAGCAGCTATCGCACCAACCTTGGTGGCAGGCAGCCCAGCTTCACGGTCAGGACCCACCTCCTCCACCTGGCTGTCTGAACTTGGACGTGTTTCTAAACACCCCATTACCTCCATTTCTCCATGGGTACACAGGGCCAGTAACTATATCTCCCTCGAGAAGTTGTTATAAGGATTGAATAAGTTAGTATTTGCAAAGCACTTGGAATAATGTCTGATGCTTTATATGAGTCAGGTTCCAATCAGGAGTCAGTAACCAACCACAGAGTAATTTGAATGGGGAAGTTTTATAAATTTATATGGGGAAGATTACATGTACCTATAATTTTTATATATCTACATATATAATTTATATATACATATATATGTTTATGTATATGAAGTAATCATTAGTAACGGGATTAGCTACTAAAGAATAAGGAACAGTAGATACAGGGACAGTTGAGGCTGTCCCTAGAACTGTGGCAGAGTGCCCAAGGAAGGAACAAGTTTGAAAGAGCTTCTCCCCTGTTCCCACCCCCCAGCCCGAGACAGATTCCGACCTTGTGGGGAGGATGTGGCTGTGTCCCACTAGAGGCCAACAAGCTCGCTGAGGTGCTGGTTAGCAAAAAGCCACCCCCCACCCCCACNCGCCCCGCCCCGCCCCGCCCCAGGACTGGAGACAGGGAGCTTCCCCTACTGGAGCTGGCTGACTCGCCAGAGGCCACCTACAGGGCATTCAGCTGAGGCACCAGCAGAACTCACCAGGAATCCCAGCAGGGGTGCTTTTGAATTATCTGGGGAGTCAGCAGGAGGACCCATGGGACTGGAAGCTCCCACTGAAGCTTGCTGGGGGTGACAGCCTCTGGGGGTCCCACACCCCAACAAAGCACTGCAGGGCAAGAACACAGGGACACAGACTGAACCAGGAAAAAGCCTCTTCTTCCTGCAATGTCCCTCCAAGGACAAAGCCAGCTGGCTGAAGAGAAGTGTTTATAGGGTCCAGCTCCAGGGTCACAAGCCGGGCAGTGAAGAGCTGATGACTGGCATACCATTAGAAAGCCCCATAAGAGTATTTGATAAACAAATGGAGCTATGCAGCGTGCAGAAGACTCTCAGCTTCTCCCTGGGAATGGAGTGCGCTCCTGTGAGAGGAGGCCCAACCTGGTGCTTAGGGGCCTGGACTCAAGGGAGATGCACACTCGCGAATCCTGCCTTTGCCTCGTGCTAGCTGTTAAGCAGCTCACCAAAAGCTCTGTGTTCAGCTCGCCCATCTGCAAGTGGAGCTAATCATAATACACCCTACATAATAAAGTTGGTGTATTAAATAAGTTAATATATAAAGGGCTTAGATGAGCACATCTTAGTTTTTATTAGGTAGATGCTTGGTCAGAACAGCAAATAAAAGTTTCTAATACTGTACCAAAACCAGAACTGTAAGTGGGAGCTAATAAGATAGGTTCTTTAATTGGCAGGTCTGAGACATCCTTCCTTTGGTATCAATCCTCCCCCTCAATTCCCACAGCTTCACTCCTGCCTGTGATTGACAGCTCCCATGTTCTCATGTATCCACAGCCCTCAATTAGGAGAGGCAGTTATTTGGCTCAGGTTAAATCGCCCAACTAAGGCAATGGTTCTCAACTGGGGGGAATCGATTTTGTGCCCACCCCTCAGCCCCAGCTGACATCTGGGAAAGTCTGGAGACATTTTGATTGTCACAACTGGGGCAAGGGATCCTGGCTGAGGACGCTGTTCAGCATCCTACCGTGCAGAGCACAGTCACCCACCATAAAGAATTATGCAGCCCACAATGTCAGTAGTGTCGCTGTTGAAAACCCTGATGGGGAGGGTACCAGGGATGTGCAGAAAGGGAACAGAGACAATGTGGGTAAACATAGGCACGCTGCCTTTTTCCTCCAACTACCCTGGATGCTGGATGGGTTCAGCCTAGGTCACCAAATCCAGGCTGACCCACAGCCAGAGTCTAAATGTACAATTTCTGATGTCCTTGGGCTATTTGTGTCAGCGACATAGAAGCTAAGTTCCCACATCTTCCAAACCGAGAAAGGAGGGGATGAGTTCCTGAAAGAGCTGCTATTGAAAGAGAATGTCCAAAATTTTAAGAAATTCTTGGCAGAAGGAAAAAATATTTGCCTTTTTTCCAACATTAGAAATTTACTACCTTTTTCTTTCCATAATGGGCTCTCTGTTTAAAACAAGTTTCTCTTCTAAGCTTCGGGCCCCACATTCACTCCTGTAGCTGAGCAAACTTTTCCTAAGGTAATGAGGGCTTTAGGATAAAAGGAAATAAAAAGTATGAGAAGCAACACTGTAAAATGAAAAGTTGTTATATAAACAGACAGACTGCTGACTGTTACCGCAAAATTCTATTTGTTTTAGCCCCAGCCTAAATCAGGAACTGTCTACCTAGCAAATACGAAACATGTATGGGCTGAGACATCACATGTGAACAAAGAAAATACGCTTTTTTTTAACAATGTAAACCGTGTGTATCTCATGAGGCTGACAGGGCTACAAGTGAAAATGGCCCCTCTAAGGATACACCACCAACCAAATTTCCTGAATATAAAATTCTGAAAACAGCTGGAAACTAATTGTGTTTTGTTGTGAGCTATTCATGAAGTTTCCTTTTTTGGCTGTACTACATGCTTGAAAACCCCCATACCATACCAACTGCAGCCCTCAACAAAGAATCACTCATTCACTCTTCACTGACTAAAGAATCAGCAACTTGTTGACAGTTTTCAAGGGAGACTTTTGGCATATGGGAAAATGACAGTATTTTCCATAATTAGAAAGTTCCTAGTTAACTTAGTAATACACATATGTAAGTCATTTGAAAATACTTTTCATTTTCTATAGTAGAAGCTCTTTCCCTTCATTTTATCAAGTTCATACTTTATACTTAGTATTTATCCGACATCCTACCAAATGTAGATTAAAGCCATTCAAAGGGATTGAAAGTACAAATCAAAATTTTTCAACACCCAATTTCTCAGGTAAAGCCAAATATGACTGTATGTTAATATCTTTCTAAAAATCAAGGTATAGCTGGATAATAATTATACTGCATTTAACCATAGACTGGGAAGTGAGTCAACAATTTTTTCAATGTTAGCACTTGCTAAGGATTCAGTCTGTGAATGAAAACGAAATTGACTGCATCAACAATTCGAGCGGGAGCACCAGGCAGAAGGGGGGAGGCCAGACTGCTTTTTCCCTTTCTCACAAGTCAGGCAGAATCCACCAGCGACCCCTCTAGGATCTTGTGATCCATGCCTCTGAATTACTTGAAACAACTTAACAAGTTCTATAACTGTTCTAGTCGTTGCGAATGAGACTTGTGGTCCTGAGCAACGATCCCAGTGCTAAAGAGCTTCCACAAGCGCCTCCTGTGTCCTAGCAGGATAAACTCCGCAGGGCAGCAAATCAATGTCTGTACCCCTCAACACTGCTACCAGATACATTTTTAAAATTAATCGGGGTACAGTGAGGGGGGCTGCCCTAACTGTTCAGAAATGTCCTGAAGGCCTGCTGTATACCAGGCACTGCAGGTACAGAGGCGATAGAGGCCGTGTCAGTAGGAGACAGGCAAGTCATCCAATACTTTAATATCTTTCTGCCCAAAAACTGTAATATTAAATTCACACTTTCACATCCACTCCCTCCCTCTAGCTTTTCCTTTGGTTAGCGATGCTTTGTCATTCTGTGGCAATCAGGTTATGGGGCTAAAAAGTGTGTGTGTGGGGGGGGGGGTCGGTCATTATCGTACAACCTTAACTTTGCTGAACCTCATTTTCTTGATCTTCCAGGAACTGAGAAAGACTACCTTTATTACATTGTTGTCTGAAACTAAAAAGCAAAATAAACACAATAAAATAAAGTATATGAAAATAGTTTATAAACTGTAGCATAAGGCAATACCAAAACAAAAACTTATTTTAAAATATAAACAAAGCAAATCCTTCAGTAGGTCCCCATTGTTAGCCTTAGGTGCTTCACGATATAACTAACTAATGAGGGCAAACCGTTTTCAAAAGAGAGATTGCCTGGAAGGTCAATTATCTTTTTTTTATATGAGCAATACCTAATATCCTATTCACCATTAAGAATTTCAATCGTCCCCAGATCCAACAACCCCATAAACCTACTTCTCCAAAGTAATGATACAGAATCACTATTTATAAAACATGCTTTCCTTTTTTTTTTTTTTTTTCCTGGAAGAGCAATGGATTATGATGAGATTACCAAATCTTTCATATTTACAGGGTCTGGTGTTAGGAAAAACGTGTTTTCCTGGGAAATTAACCTAACCCTTATGGAACCCACTCAAATAAAGTAAGCCTCAGGTTACAACAGCGTCCTGACTTTGACTTTGACTCCTGATACCCATAAAGGACCACAGGCCCATTCCCACCTCAGCTGTGCCACAGCTCAGTCGTTATTCCAAAAACTCTCTTCTTATAAAGGCTAAATATGCTAAACAGACTATCCCTTAAACTACCTGATACAAAGAAATGCAGGCTGTTGACTGAATCACCCATGGTAAGTATTCAACATGTTTCTTTTCCAGATGTTTATTATGTATAAAATACAGATTGAATATTGATTAGTATAAAATTTTCTTATATGAAGCAATTCAAAATGTCTTAGATCAAGCAATACTAATAATGTCCTAATTAGAAGTTCTCAAAATTCACTATGGGCTTTGACTTTTCAGAATGCCTGCATTCTCTGTAATAGTTTTCACAGGTAACTGAATATTTTATATATTCCACAGGGGAATGTCATTCATGGCTCTTCAGTTAAATATTTGGTTTTTTTTCTGGCCAAATAAAACATCCATTTTAAAAGGCTGCTGGTATTTGGATAGCTATCCAAAATTGGTTTAATTATTTTATCCATTACCTACACAAGAAAGCAATTTTGTAAGCAGAAATAGATAACATATATAAACTGACCAGCTTTAAAACTATTAAAGGGCTCCAAGGTTTAAGAATAAGTACAGTACCAGAAAATGTCACTTGTTATGGAAAAGTTTTACTTTATTTGGGAAATGTAATGTTTTCGTGTATTTACTCTTTCAAAGCAATGGAAGTACAACGATAAGCACTGAGTAACAAGTACCCTGCTTTACGAACTTACTCTTAACACACTGACGGCAGACTATGTGATCCAATTATAAAACGTAACATGTATGAGTAAACACACACAACTGAAGAGTTGTGGGAAAATAGAGGATTAATCAAAATGCTCTGTTTAAAAGTAGTAAATTCAAGTTATGTGGAAATTTTATGCATAAAAAATCATATTGTATAATCAGAATGACTCTCCAAGCGTCATTTCTGGAAAAAAAATTAACTATAGCTAAAAAGGTAAACTTTTAACGTCTCTTTTTCAAAGTACTTTCCAAACTTCACTATTCAAATTAAAATATTTTAACAATGTATTCCAGAGATATGTTATATAGTTTTTTTTTTCAGCTGAGCCATCCTGCCACCTGTTGACAGCTCAGCGGCTGCTCAGCTCGGGCTGGACTCGAACCGCTGTTGCTCAGAGCTCAAACTCTTGAGCGAGCTCTTAACCAACTGAGCCACTCGGCCAGCCCTGTTATATAGTTTTTATCCCAAGAAATCTTGTGATGTATAAATAAATCTGCTAACGGAAAAGAGTAAGAAAAACCAATCTATGAAAGAAAATAGTTCTACTGAGAGTCCAAGTGTGATCTCAAATTATTACCTCTATTTTCCTCCCCATCGTTTCTTTTCATGTGCCCTTTCCAGACTGAGAGTACTTATAGGGAGTTCACCTTGACCTGCGTTTTCTCTCAAATCTCTCTTGGCTCTGATAAAAGCACAAGGAAGCACTAACACCACCCTCTCTATTTCACCCGATAAGAATATCTAAGCCCAAACTCACTCCTATCCCTGGGCTGCAATGAGTAATATTACAGAAGTGCCTAAAGTCTATAATGACTTTGGCAACAAAGTAAACTTCTCTAGTGATGATTTTGCTGTACTGTTTTGTTGCCTTAACACCAATTAACCATTAAAAAAAAGAAGAAGAAAGAAAAAAACAATTAGAAACTTGAAATTCAAACTGTCTGTAGACAAATTATCATTTAAAAGTTGGGAAAACGAGAAGTAAATATAGCCCTAACCACCTAAAGTCTCCCCTCCTCCATTCCTACTTCACACAATCTAGTATTTTTCCCGTGATTATTCTGAATAGAAACATTAAGTTTTCACCTCGACTGCATGAACAAACAGTGCCACCGATGCGTATCAAATGGTGTGGGAGCTCTGGGAGGCAACCAGATCGTCTGAGCACACCGTTTCCGTCAATCAGCCTTGCCCTGCCCATTTTCGGTCCGCACGCCCAAGGTGGGTGCTTCGGAGGGCAGCAGCTCTGGGGCCCCCTCGGGCCTCACTGCTGTGCAGGCAGGCAGCGGAGGCACAGCGGCGCACAGTGGAGTCCGTTTCAGCTTTATCACTCGATGTGGGGTGGCCTTCTTGTCAGAGAGCAGGACCTTAGCTGGAGGAGTGTATGTGGCTCCGTTTTCCGCACTCCCGGTCCCACCAGAAGCCAGGAAGTGCCCAGGTAGCCCAGCACCCACCAGGGATGGGGTTTTCGATGGTGCGGAGCACTGAGCTGTACTGCTGTCTGGAGACTGGTTTGCGGTGGCCTGGGACCAGGCCTGGAGGGCACTGGTGGGAGACACCCTGATCGAAGCAGAGTTCTTGACTTTAATTTGGGTGCTGGTGGAAGGGCCCATAAATCTGACCGGCTTAGGACCAATCTTAGAGTTTACACCTTCTTCCTCTTCGTGAAGTGCTATCAGTCGCCTGTAAATAACAGAAGCACATTATGATCAGTGACAAGTTCAGTAACTAATGAAACTGTCTCCAAAGTTTACCTTCAAGGTGAACAAAAAGGTTCTCGTCAAGAATTCTAATCAAGAGCTGGCCGGCCAAGTGGCTCAGCTGGTTAAGAGTTGGCTTAAGAGCGCGAGCTCTGAGCAACAGGGCCGCCAGTTACATTGCCACATGGGCCAGTGACACCGTGCCCAAGCTGAGCTGTTGCTGAGCTGCCAACAGGTGGCAGGATGGCTCAGCTGGTGTAACAACAAGATTGCCTGTTCGATGCCCACCCGCAACTAAGACTGAATTCGGCACCTTGAGCTGAGCTGCTGCTCAGATGGCTCAGTGGATAGAGCGTGCTCTCTTAACAACAAGGCTGCTGGTTCAACTCCTGCATGGGATGGTGGCTACGCCCAACCCGCAACTAAGATTTTAACACAGCACCTTGAGCTTAGAGGCCACGAGCTGCTGACAGGAAGCCAGATGGCGACTGGCGCCCTCCACAACTAAGACTGAAGAACAAAAACTTGGCTGGTCCCCTTCCCCAATTCCCCAACACTCTTCCCCTCCCCCAATTCCCCAAGAAAATCTAAAAGGAAAAAAAAGAATTCGGGTCAAAAGGTTTATAAGTATCAACACACCTCATCTCTCATTCCCTCCATGGTCAATAAGTAAATTAGCAAATTTATAAAAGACTGTTTCAACTTGAATACAAACTCCTTTAAAGTCACACATAATACCAACAAGTTAAAATTTGGAGATGACCTGTATCTTCCTAAGCTGCTCTGTGCCGTTTCATTTTGTGATTGTATTAGCATGACAACTTTCCAAAGCTCTAGAAACTGGCTTTTGGTGAAGATGATTTTCAAACCAAGAGATTTTTCATTGAAAACTCAAAGGCAGATGGTGTAGAAAGGGAATGTTCAAATGTGAACCAAATAGAATCCCATTTTGTGTATTATATATATTTGTAATTTTATTTTACTTAGATTGCTGGTAAGTACAAGCAAAAAAAATGAAATCCAAAGATAATGGTATTAAAAATGTCATACAATATAAATGTCTTTCTGGGTAAAATTATATGAAAAATGTGATATAGTTGTTTTTCTGTGAAATCTTCCAGCAGCAAAATCTGGCAAAGTTACTTCTTAATAAAGCTATATCTAGTTTTGAAAAGTTATTTTTAATGTTTCTTTAACCTTTTAGACACTTCTAAATCTTTGTTGTTTTTTTCAAAGTATTTTAAAGTGCATTTGTATAATGATTAATGCTGGAAACCAATCTAAGGGGGACTGTGGGTGATAGATGTAACTGAGTTTTGAGGAATTTGGGGGATGGGGGGTCACGATATAACTAACTAATGAGGGCAAACCGTTTTCAAAAGAGAGATTGCCTGGAAGGTCAATTATCTTTTTTTTATATGAGCAATACCTAATATCCTATTCACCATTAAGAATTTCAATCGTCCCCAGATCCAACAACCCCATAAACCTACTTCTCCAAAGTAATGATACAGAATCACTATTTATAAAACATGCTTTCCTTTTTTTTTTTTTTTTTCCTGGAAGAGCAATGGATTATGATGAGATTACCAAATCTTTCATATTTACAGGGTCTGGTGTTAGGAAAAACGTGTTTTCCTGGGAAATTAACCTAACCCTTATGGAACCCACTCAAATAAAGTAAGCCTCAGGTTACAACAGCGTCCTGACTTTGACTTTGACTCCTGATACCCATAAAGGACCACAGGCCCATTCCCACCTCAGCTGTGCCACAGCTCAGTCGTTATTCCAAAAACTCTCTTCTTATAAAGGCTAAATATGCTAAACAGACTATCCCTTAAACTACCTGATACAAAGAAATGCAGGCTGTTGACTGAATCACCCATGGTAAGTATTCAACATGTTTCTTTTCCAGATGTTTATTATGTATAAAATACAGATTGAATATTGATTAGTATAAAATTTTCTTATATGAAGCAATTCAAAATGTCTTAGATCAAGCAATACTAATAATGTCCTAATTAGAAGTTCTCAAAATTCACTATGGGCTTTGACTTTTCAGAATGCCTGCATTCTCTGTAATAGTTTTCACAGGTAACTGAATATTTTATATATTCCACAGGGGAATGTCATTCATGGCTCTTCAGTTAAATATTTGGTTTTTTTTCTGGCCAAATAAAACATCCATTTTAAAAGGCTGCTGGTATTTGGATAGCTATCCAAAATTGGTTTAATTATTTTATCCATTACCTACACAAGAAAGCAATTTTGTAAGCAGAAATAGATAACATATATAAACTGACCAGCTTTAAAACTATTAAAGGGCTCCAAGGTTTAAGAATAAGTACAGTACCAGAAAATGTCACTTGTTATGGAAAAGTTTTACTTTATTTGGNGCGATGGCGTAGGCTGCAGCCCCTGCTGCAGTGGGTTGCCATGGGCTACTGTGTGTAGCCAGCAGCCAGCGTGAGTGGCCCTCAAGCCATCGTGAGTGGCCGTCCAGAAACCAGCGACTGATCTGCCTCACCCGGGAAAAGCGCAATGATGGTGCCAACTTGGGCCAGTGAAGCAATTTCCCCACAACTAGACTGAAGAAAAGGACAGCAACTTGTCTGTTCCCTTTCCCCAATTGCCCAGCACTGTTCCCATCCCCCAATTCCCCAATTAAAAAAAAAAATCTTAAAAAAAAATAAAAAAGCCTAAAGGGGGAGCACTGCTTTAAATGACCTTAAAACTGTCAAACAACCACTGCCTAAAACCTGCCTGTTCCTTCCACTGCTGCCACTGCCTGAACATGAAGTGTCGCATAATCCTCCAAGTCGTCTCCCTCTCACCCAGCATTGTTGTGTTTTTAGAGGCGATTAACATAGTGAACTCTGACTCTTGGAAATGGGGTCATAATAGCATGGTGATTTGAAAATTACCATGTGTAGCAAATGTGAACACAGTAATCCCTCCCTCCTCATCCACACTTTCGCTTTCCATGGTTTCAGCTACCCACAGTCAACCACGGTCCGGAAATACTAAATGGAAAAAATCCAGGAATAAACAATTCGTAAGTTTTAAATTGCACGTCATCCTGAGCAGCATGACGAGATCTCGCACAGTCCTGCTCCATCCCACCTGAGATGCCCATCATCCCTTTGTCCAGCGTATCCAAGCTGTAGACGCCACCAGCCCCTTAGTCATGTAGGAGCCATCTCAGTTATCAAATCAGCTGTCCTGGTATCGCAGTGCTTGTGTTTGAGTAACCATTATTTTACTTAATGTTGGCCCCCAAATAAAAGAGTAGTGATGCTGGCGATTCGGATATGCCAAAGAGAAGCCTTAAAGTGCTTCCTTTAAGTGAAAAGGTGAATGTTCTTGACTTGCTAAGGAAAGAAAAAAAATCATGTGCTGAGGCTGTCAAGATCTACAGTAAGAACAAATCTATCCGTGAAATTGTGAAGAAGGAAAAAGAAATTTCTGCTAGATTTGCTGTTGCACCTCAAACTGCAACACAGCCATAGCCCGTGGTAAGTGCTTAGTTAAGATAGAAAAGGAATTAAATTTATGGGTGGAAGACATGAACAGAAGACACGTTCCAATTGATGGCAACATGTTGTGTCAGAAAGCACAGAGCCTATATGAAGTTTCAGCAAGGGATCCCCAGAAACAAGTGACACCAAGCCAGTTGAGACAAGAAAGGTATGATTACAGATTCAAGAATAGGTTTGCACTAAAAAAATATAAAAATTACTGGAGAAGCTATATCTGCCAATGAAGAAGCTGCTGCCACATTTCCAGCAGAGTTGAAGAAGTTGATGAAGGAGAAAAGATACCATCCAAAACAAGTCTTCTATTAGGGTTTGGTGCTATTCATGGTTTCAGGCATCCACGAGGCGTCTTGAAACATATCCCCCAAGGATAAGGTGGAACTACTATATAATATATTCAACCCTAAAACTCTACTGAATTTCCTCTGGTGAGTCAGATAGTTCTTTGGGACTTCACAAGTGCTTTTAACTTATCGTTATCATAATCCTGTTGATGCATCTAAAATGACATTTAATAAAATCCCAGAGGAAAAACAACAAACACAGAGGAGAGTCTCTGTAACACCATTCCTGCTGCTTCATTTTCTGTCCACATCTTCCACTGACTCTAGACCAAGGTTTTTCAATCTTGGCACTATTGCCATTTGGGGTGGGATAATTCGTTGCTGTGGGGCTGCCCTGTGCATTCTAGGGTGTTTAGCGGCACTCCTGGCCTCCACCCACTAGGTGCCAACAGCATCCCCCACTCCACAGTGTGACAGCCATAAATGTCTCCAAACATTGCCGAATATCCCCTGGGGGGACAAAATCACCCCCAGTTGAGGACCACTTCTTTAGACCCCCAGTAATACTTGCTAACTGTAGGATCAATGAGCAAAATAAATAATGATAACAAAATAATGGCCTTTCAGAAAAAATATCTGTTTTAACAAGAGATGATTAACTACTGAAAACTGAATAAACTTCTCTGCGTTTCTGTGAAAGATCCAGAAGGCACAAGCAAGAGAGCATTCTGGAATTCCACAGGGGCACTGAATCAAATTCCAGAGCACATGACCAAGAAATCAGAACATCTGAAAGCCATGAATGGAGTGCCCATACAATAAAAAAAGATGATTTTAAATGTATTTAAAGCACAGTGAAAGACACAGATGTGAAGTGAATTCAATGCTAATAATTTCACAGAACACAGGAAAATACCATTAAATTAAAATGCTATTTGTGGCCATGGGAGGCAGAAAGAAATTCAGAATAAATCACAGGAAAGTTCAAATATTAAGTCTAATAAATAAATTTTTGACTATTGCCCAATAAAGCCTGAATTTCACTTTTGTGGGGAAAACTGTAATACTTACTACAGCATTCCCACTGCATCCACTAGTGTTTTTAAAATCACACTCCCAAAAAGAACATACTATATAACTCAGTTTTAAAGAATTATTTGCACTTTTTACATAGTTTTGGTAACTTTGCATTTATCAGGATTTATATTTTGATGGCACGGCAGAATATTCATCTAGGTGATTAATAAGCTTAACAAGGTCAAGAACCCTTACTCATTTTCCCAATAAAGATAGTAAAAACATAGGTCATAGACTAAAAACAAAAACAAAAATCAAAAGACATCAACAGAGCACAGATAACCTCTTTCGAATTGGGGTCATGTGACGCAGGCTTCCAAGTAAAGGCCGCTCTTCCAGAGTCCAACATTCTATCAGCTCGTGAGGCACCCGCCAGTAGCTGACACCTGCAAGGTAAAAAGACACCATTAAGAGAGCCGTTGTCCACTGCAAAATGTTCAGAAACGCTGTTTCGTTTAAGACCAGCCAGAAGGAGTTTGAGGTTCATGCTTCCCATTTGACGAAGGGAGGCGCACACAGGAAGTGCTCCCACAAAGAGCCAGGGCAGTAATGGCGCGACCCGTGGCCTGGGACCAGCCCCAGCTCTGCCCCTGATAACCGGCAGGTCCTTATGTGGGCCCTGGGTAGCTGTGTGTGCTGGTTCAAGGTGGCAGGCTCTGGAGCTAGGACTGCCTGGGTCTGAATCCCACTCTGCCACTCATGAATCACGGGGCCTTAGGAAACTTACTTTCCTGTGCCTAAATTTCCTCATCTGCGAAATGAGGACAACCACAATACATACCTCAAGGATTCTTGCAAAAATTGAGTAAGTAAATAAATGCAAAATGCTTAGAAGAGGGCCTGGCATAGACTGAGCATTCAAGAGATGTTAGGTGCCCTTACTGTAAGTCACAGTGTTGGCTGCAGCATAGGGATTGGACGGGGGCACTAACACTTGCCCTGTCTGCCTCATTGGGTTGCTACGACCATCAGATCAGGTAAATTTTGTGAACCACTCTGTAAGAGGCAACCACTATATGAATATCAGATATCACTACCCTATGAGTACCTTTGCAAACAAGAACAATCTAAGTTAATATGTTAGACCAAAATTCCAATCAAATTCACTTTAATTTTTAAATCTGACATGTTTCTGATTGAAAGCTGAAAACGTATTCTTATAAGCCTTGAAAACATTGTGCTAAGTGAAAGATAGACACAAAGATCACATATTGTATGATTCCATTTATATGAAATGTCCAGAACAGGCAAATCCCATTGAGACAGAGAGCAGACTAGGGGTTGGGAGGAGCTGACAAATGAGAATTAACTACTGAATGAGTGCTGGGTTTCCTTTTGGGGTGATGAAAATGTTTTGGAACTAGACAGAGGTGATGGTTACACCATATTGTGAATGTGGTAAATGACACTGAAATTAAATAATCTATCTTTTTTTCTTTAATATTTTAATGAATCAACTGTATAACGTTCTTATCACATAGTACTTTTATTCTTATAACTTTATTGGGGTTTACATTCGATCTCTGTATGTATTCTTATACAAGAAACATATGGGGTTTATTATTATATTATTATTATTATAGATCTACAGCATGTTTTACTATCAAAGAGTTAGACTCATCCCTCTAATGACTTCTATTTCCCAAAATGTTCTTGGTTATTTTACCTGTTTATTCTTTCAAAGGAATTCTAGAATCATTTCAAGAATCCCAAAGAGTTCTATGGATATTTTGGTAAGAATAGTGTTAAACTTATAATTTAATCTGAGAAGAACTGACATCATTATAATACTCAGATTCATTCAGGTCCATGGTATGTCTCACCATAATCTCATGTCTTCTTTTTTATGAATGGATGGATGGATAAATACATTTTAGCAATTTTCTTCATAAAACTTCAAGCATTTCGGGCCAGCCGAGTGGCTCAGTTGGTTAAGAACTCGCTCAAGAGTTTGAGCTCTGAGCAACAGTGGTTCGAGTCCCGGCCCGAGCTGAGCAGCCGCTGAGCTGCCAACAGGTGGCAGGGTGGCTCAGCTAAAAAACAAACAAACAAAAAACTGTGGTGACAGTGAAAATCAGAACAGAAATTCTGCCCCCAACACATCAGNACAGGGGTTAAAAAAAAAAAAATCAAGCATTTCTTGGCAGGGCAGTCCTAGTTATCTTATGTTTTATTTATTGCTATCATGAATGGGATTTCCCCCTATAATTCCTAATTAATTTATAAGTAAGCTGCTGATCTTTGTTTACTTATATTGTATACAGCTAGTTTAGTCTATTAAACTCATCATTTAAAATACCTTTAGTTGATTCTTTTGAGTTTTCTAAAAAGACAGATTGTCCACAATCTGTCTTCTTTCTTCTAATAGGTCTTTCTTTTACTTCTTTTTCCTGTCTTACGGTTTTCCACAGGCCTTCCAGAACTTTCTTAAGTAACAGTGGTGCTCCATTTCATGCTTTCTAAAAAGTTGAAATCAGCTGCTCGCTTTGTAAAAGCCAGTGACTCCAGCTTCCTAAGTCAGTGGAGAAAGCAGCCCAGCCAGGGTCCTCGGAAGCCTCCTCGGCAACCTGCCAGCCCAGAGGCACAAAAGGAGACACAGAACACCACGGGGTCTGTTCCTCAACTTCAACTCAGGTGCTTGAAAGTCAATTAAATCTAAAACAATAAGCTTAAAGAGAATAGCACTTCTTTCATTATACTTCATCCTGTCTGCTTGAGGGGTATGAAAAGAAAAAGAAGAAAAAGTAAGGAGGACAAAGTGAGGAAAGAAATAAGGGTTGGTACTAGCACCCTGCCTGAGGAGGAGCAGCTCAGGTAGTTTTAAAAGCCTCTTCCTCTCTTTTTATTCCATTTTACGTCACGTGCAATGGTTGTCTAGACCAGCTTTTAAGATCATTTGAAGACTGAGATGTGTCTTATTTATCTTTGGACCCAATTTTAGGACTTACTATAGTGTTTGCACTTAACACTAAATAAATCCTTGTTAATTAAGGGGGAAAAAAAAAACTTAAGCATGGAACAGTTAACCCTCTATGATCCTTAAGGAAGTGGCATGGCCTCTCTGAGACACAGTTTCTTCATCAATAAAGTGGTAAATAGCCTAACAGGGGTATTTTAGGACTAAGAGATACTGAATGTAAACTACTTATCACACTGGATATTAAACAGCATTATTATTATCAACTCATATAAAAAGCTTGGTAAAGATGGTCAAATTTCAAAGTGTGCATTTAAAGATTATTTTAATTATTTTATAAGGGCTCTTTAGACATCTTCCCCAGCATTATTTTCATTTCCCCTTTTTTTATTTTTGACTATACATTTTATGCTTAATTTAGAGTTATCTCCATAGGACAATACAGGTACACAGTAGGTGCTAAGTAAACTCTTGTTTAATTGAAGTAAATAAGTATAACTAACAGAAGCATATTTCAGGTTACTGAATTACAAACTATTAATAATATCTAGCAACTCATGGGGTTTAAAGATTTGTAAGTAAAATGTCTGTGTTACCTTGACATGACAATTACCTGGATCCGCACAAAAATATACTTTCTCAGAAAAAGAGATGCTGTATGAGCTTACTTTGTCTTATTAAGGATAAGTCTTCCTTCTGCCATGAAATCAAAGAATTGTACTGTACCTTTTCCTTCCCAGGCATCAAAGGCATCCATCATTTTCTTCAATTCTGCTACTGAATAATAGCTCCAAATGTACTGAACATTATTTCCCGCCTCTCTAGAAATAGTGCAAAAGGTAATGAAAACATACAACTTAGGTACAAATGTGTGTATATGTGTATGTGTGTGTGTATTACTATATACTGTATAATATACTATATAAGTATTCTAATGTGCATTTGAAAGTATTTAATTTCACAATATAGACTGTGCAGACAAATCAACAAGTGTTTAAAATAAGTTTTCTAAAAATATCATCTAACACCAGTAAAGTTAGCAAACACTCAACTTTGACTAAAACTTTCCTAGCACTGTGCCAGGCACTTATATATCTTATATAGAAACACCCCTGCCTGTAAAGAATTCAGAAAATGATGACAGATTTAATCATTTAAGAAACAAGCTCATTTGGTTATACATTAGTCACTAATATGTGACCCAATCCAATCTCCCAAAGAATTTAAAAAAAAAATAAAATATATATATATATATATATATATATATATATATATATATATATATATATATGTTAAGTGAATTGACCAGTGTAAAGAAGATTACAGGGAAAATATTAAGTGACTAACCTTTAAGGATTTAACATGTTTAAGTTATAGAATTTTAAAGTTGGGAGGGACCAGGGAAGTCTTTCATCATTTCTCAGAACAAGACACCAAGGCACAGGCCAGTGCTGGGTCACTCAGTGGGCCTGCTGACTTCCAGGCCACCACTTCTGCCCCTGGTCTAGGGTCAAGGGGACACACCTGGGCATGTGGCTTTGCTTTACTGTCTTTCTTTTTATTTTGTTTTTATAAAGCCTTGCAGGGGATTCTGATGCCCACGCCCAGCTGAGAACCACTGGACTAGACCATGTAGATGGCCCATAGCTTAAATATATGTGAAATGGTCTTAGCTATCATCTCCTGATGAAACAGGCCTATCTCGACGGCTCCAAAGGCTCGCTCTGTCTACTGAGAGGTGTTGATGGTCTTTTCTGGTCAACCACATATTCCATTCAGTAACATCTCTTAGAAAAGACCAAGACTTTATTGTGTTCCTTTTTCATTTTTAAATATGGACATACCTCTTAAAAATGCTTTTACTGTGAATTCTTCCTCCCAGCTGCTTATCAATAGCATCTGTTCCATCAGTTTTTGTGGCATATACACCAATAATTCTACTCTCACAGCTTGCACCAGATGTGTTAAGATAGTGGAGAACCCAAACTGTTGGTTTATTGCAAACTAAACCATACGAATCACAGAAGTCTGTTAAAGCCTGGAGCAAAAAAAAAAAAAAGTATATATGTATCAAATTTGAATTTAATTCCGGAAAGTAATTTTTTAATCAAAAAATTAATTTGTTCTGTTACTTCCAGGTAAAGCTGCCATTTCAGTTGGTCATACGGGAAATAAAAAGACTATAAATTTCAACCTAGTCTTTATGCCTTTAAAAACCAAACATGCATTTGTTGAATTTGGGGTGGAGGGCAAATCACAAGAAGCACCACCCAAAAACCCAACACCTTTTCATTTAGAGAATTCTCTTCCACATGGAAATTATATTTCCTCCTTCTTTAGCTTCACTACCAACCTAACTTTCAGTTTTAAAATCTTCATATAATAACCAAAAGTTAGACCTTTTTACTTTTCCCTTTATTCTCCCCCAAATTTCCCAGTTGACTCTATCTTCCTTTCACCTTCTATTGGCCCCATGGTTGATCGTGTTTTTAACTCCAAATCCAATCATGGATTAAGCAGAGCAATTTATTCTTTTACACTGAATGATACAAATATATGAACTGAATACGCACTGTCTGAACTCCTTTGGCACTTATCCACCTATTCATTCATTTACTTGAATATTAAGTACCTAGTATGTGCTGAGCATTGTCTAAGGTCCTGGAGATATAATGGTGAGCAAGAGGCAGGATCCCAGCCCTTCTGGAGTTTACAGCTAATGCAGAAGACAGGCACTAAGTAAGTCATCACACACAGCGTGATAAGTGCTCCCAGGTGAGCCTGCGAGGTGCTAAGGGGCATGGAGCAGGAGGGCTTCGCTAGCGGCAAGGGCCTTCCCGGGGGGACATGGCATTGCTGCTGTGAGCACCCTGAGAACAGGGACTTTTGTCAGTTTTGTTTAGTGTCTCAAGTGCCTGGAATAGTACCTGATACAAAAGAGATGCTTAATATTTACTGACTCGGTGAATGAAAATAGGGCCCTGACGTATCTTGTATTTTCATTTACTACCGCTCTCTAACTCCTCTATTGGTTCCTAACTTTACTTACACATTTATGAGAATTTCCAAGTATATTATAAACTGTTCAAGGGCAAGAACTGTATGTTGTATTTCTTTGTGTCTCATACAGTCCCCAGAACAGTGCTCCACAAGCCAAAAACATTTAAAATAAATGCCCTGGCAGGCAGAATGACAGTCCATATGCTACGTCCTTTTTGCATATGAACCAGAAATAAAAAAGCCTACAGAGTTGGGAGACTTCAGAAAATGAATGTTAACCCACCCCAACTTTCCAGCCAAGATTTTTCAGCCCCATTCAGCAGATGTGGCAAATAGAACCAAAAGACTGCCTAACAGCTCAATTTATAAATACCTTCAGAAGCAGAACCCACACATCCATGCAAACTCCTGAAGGGGACCTGGTACCAAATCAACTTTCTCTTCATGCTGCACTCCTAATAACCATATCATCAGCTTGCTCTCCTAAACACTGACATCCAAATCAAAGAATTCAAACCAATTCGTGTCAGTTTTCACTATTAACAATGATCTAGAAAAAATATTTTTCTTAGATGTCCAAAGGTACTAATAGCAAACATAATATTTACAAAAGAGATAATAAACCTTTTTAAGTCATGTAAAGATCTTTAAAGTGTGATTTAAGACTGATGTTTTCACTTAGTCACACACTGCTACATTCACTAAATCATGTAAGAGATTTTATACAATCTTTTATTTATTATGACCATTCTTTCAAAAAATCACTTCAGGAAACAAAATAATTCCACTATAACCTCACTTATTACAGTATTGCTTTTAATTTAAAAAGAACTTCAAGAGAAGAACAACTCTATAAAACAGCCATCAAAAAGTGTTAAATCTCCAATGAGGAATAAAAACTTCATAAACCTTTGCGTGGCGATGTAATACACTTTCCTAGAATAGAATTTTGGCCTTAAAAATGACTAGTGGTAATGAAGAAATGTATCTTCAAAAATTATGAAAAAGTAAAACTGTCTCATGTTTGGCTTATGTGACAACACAGGCTAGGCAAAATAACACACATTGCTTTGTGCATAATAAATGTATATATACAGTATATATATATATATATATATATATATATATATATACACACACACACACACACACACACACACACATATACATATATATTTTAAAACTTAAGAAAATGCCAAGACCTTTTTAAGTTCTATATTTGACCTTAAAGAATATGTCTCCATTTCATTGGCCAAGTGGTCAGACAGGCTGTACGGATAAGGGATGCCAAAGTAATCAGCCTCTTCCTGCAGAGCAACGCGGGTTTGCTCATCGGTGGGAATGTGAACTTCTCCATGAAGATAATCCAAAAGGTATTTAAATAGATGTCCGTCACGATCAATAACACAAGCCCCTAGAAAATATGCAGTTCAAAAATGATTGCACAGATACATATGACCATTGACAAAATTTCAACATGTCAAACTAACATCAGGCTGAGGTTAGAAATATTTCTTTCTCACAAGAACATTAACATCTAATGTTCAAATAGGTTCCCTCAGATTTGGCGATCCTCTCTATTCTCACCAACCATATAGGAAAATGTATTCTGAGCTCCATTTGGAATTTTGGACACAATGACCATACTTCCACAATGGCCACTATGAAAGCCATGGAGACCTCAGGCTACTGGTAGACATAGAAGCTTACCCCTAAGCTCAGCCCAGCTGGGCCAGAAAAGGCGTTTGGAGTTCCTCCCTAGTGAGGGCTTGTGGGGTGCTCATTACCATGTCCAGCGTTTGTGTCCACCTGCAGCGCTGACATACAAACCCAGGGTTCCTAGCTCCAGGCATGCCATGTGTTTGGATTTATTAGGTTAGTCCCTTTGTACTGTGAGAACCTAAACTTTAAAAAACAAATGCGAGGCTGGTACTACTTTATAAGAGACTACTCTTAGACAATTTATCAGAATTAAAAAAACATTTCTGTGTGACATTACTTAACAATTCCTTTTCTCCCTTGATTAGTTTAGAATAGAAGGGATTAAAAAGGTAAGCCTTGGGACAGAGTAAAAAATTGAATCTCTGCTTACCATCTTTTCACCCGCAACCTTTCTGTCCAGATGGACATCAAGCCCTGGGCACCAGCCATCATGAGTTTTCCATTCTTTCAACTGCTATTCAGCAGAGCAATCCCTCAAGACCCAGGGTTACTAACAGCCCCTCATGCTCAAGACTACTCAATCTCTCCATTCTAACATAAAAGTAAGAGTGGGTTCCATGAGGCCTGGAACCCCTAAAATGTGCAAAAAAGCACGACTTGCAGCCAGACTAGGTAATAAGTTTAACACTAATTCTACACTAACAATGGCTGCCCTGTCCGTTATGAGGGCAGCTGCTTTCCCCAGAGATATACATTTTTTAATCCTTAAAACACAGAGAAGCTAATGTACTTAATCGGCTTCAATACCTTTACCCATGGAGTTGCATGAATGTAACAACTTTCAAAATATAATTAATCACCATAATTAGATCACAGTCAGTCTTTACACACTCTCACTTTTTTGTCAACTTTTAGCAACAGCATCACAGACTCTAGAAACTGGTATTTTAAGTTCACCGTGTATTTACTAATCTCCATAAAGTCCTAATGATCGCATTAATTAGTAAACTAATCTAATACATTCTGTTGTAATTAGGAAAATCAAAGGAAATTTAAACTAGACTCCTATTTTAATGAATATTCTTGATCATGCTTACAGACTTTAGATATTTACCTGATTCATCTGTTTTTAGAGGAAAACGACCACTAAACATTGATGCCAGCATGGAGTCCTTAAAGCGGCACAAAGACTCACGCCTGGCTGTGTAAATACAGCCACCCACGTTCAGTTGAAGAATATCTAACATCTCTTCTTCTGCCTTATGACAATCCATTGCTCCCAGACACCTGAATTTTTGCTTTGAAACACTTTCAAAAACTGCAAAACAATGGTAGTCCTGGTCCCCCTCTGTAAAAACAAAGGACAATCACCACTGACAATACATTAAATAGACGACGTTTTAATGTGATTTAAAATAAATCCCTCAGCATTAGCAACACTGAATTGAGGATTTTTATATAATACGAAAGAAGTCTGAGATATGCTGAAAAGCTGGAAAACTTTGGCTCAGAAGATTTGTAAATGATAATAAAGTCTTACCAATCAAATCCTAGCTGTTGAGATGACTGTTTAAAGAATTAAATAAGATAATGGATTGTTTGTCGTATATAAAGCAAAGGTGAGGTGTGCTTATGATCTTCAATATTCACATATCATCTTTTTTCAAATTTAATATTCTTTTGTAATGAAAATGAAGTGTGTATAGTCACTGCTAGACATTCCATCATTATCAAACACATTATATTTTATGCAAATGTCACTTTACACAATTTGGCTTTAAAAAATCTAAAGTCCTTTCTAGAATTTTCTGCCTTAGTTCCTTAGTTTCCAAACTATCCCTCTCTTTGTAACACTGTCTCCCAAATCTTTTGAAGTTACTAATAATAGCCACCATTTATTCATCTCATACTCTATACCATCCACTTAATCTATATGATAGCAATAAGAAGTTGATATTTGTATTTTGTAGCTGCAGAAACTAAAATTAAAGTTTTGTCTAAGCTATGGCAGAAGTAAGGCAATGTGAATTTTTCACATATGTTTTAAACTACAGTAAGTCTGAGGGAGCTCTCTAAACTGCCAAGGAGATCAGTGTGTAGCATCAGATGGGGCTGCTAGGCTCTGCCACTTACTAGCTCTGGGACCTCAGGCAAATACTTATCTTCCTCGCCTGTGTCCTCATCTACAAAATGGAAGTAGGAACGGTGCCCACCTCAAAGGACTATCAGAAGAATAACTGACAAAACATAAAAAATACATAGAATAGTTTTTGGCTCAAAGTCAGTACTCAATAAATGATATTACCTATAATGATATATATTTTACCATAAGGTAATAACTGAGGGACTTGATATTGGCTCTGAAGATTTGAGGAAACAAAAGAGCAGAAATTATTAGCAATAATTATTATAATTCTTAAGTTAGGTAAAGGAAGATATAATTTATCTTTTGAGATCAGAATTCTAAGTATGCCAGTAGCCAGATTGGTCTAGAAAAACAAATAACACCTCTAAATAACACACCTGGCTTCTTCACTCCAAAATGGCTGAAGCTTTAGGGAAGTTTTAAGGATATGATTTCTTACTCCAACCTGGGGCGTTGAGGTAACTGTGGCTTTTCTATGGAACCTAAAACAATGCTGTGATGAGAAAGGTACTCCCAATATTGAGAGCCACTGTATCTGCACATTTCATAGCAAGTGTAAAATGGCTGCCAAGAGACTTAACTACATCCATGGCAATTCACTTTTACTATAATGTCATCAACTAAGATCCTTTCGTAGAGGCTCCAATTTAGCCAGTCTCCAATGAAATGAGAGACCATTAGTCTGAGTAAAAACCATGGTCAGCAGAAAGAAACTATCATTGACCAACAGTCCAGCCTTCAAAAGCCACTTATGGATGTGACTTCTTGAGCTACCTGTAAGTCCTGGGAGCAGCCTCTCAATGATCTATGTGATACAACCCCCTCTGAGGGCATGGAGTGGAACTGGTTCGCGCTGCCCGTTACCAGCTTCCTGGAATCCTATCTACTCTTCAAAACCCCAGGCAAACCTCATTACTTGCATAACCATCCCAAGCACCCCCAATGTAGAATCTTTGCACAGTTCCCTAAATATACTTTGTACCTCTGTTGACATTTTATCCCACTTAATGCCTGGTTTGGGGGGTCTGGAAAGCAGACCTCTGTTACTCTTAATAATTCCCATTTACTGAATGCTTACTATGTGCCAGCCACTGTAGGCGAGGCTTGAGAGACATTTCCTAATTCACACTAAAGCCCTATCGGATAAGGCATACTGTGCCAATTGACAGATGAGGGCACTGGGGAAAGTAATAGAGTGATGTGTGCTGGGTACACATTAAGGCTGCCCTGCTAGTAGGTGGTGGAGACAGCCCCAATCCAGTTCAGCAGGACCAACTCCAAATTCTTCCTGCTGAACCCCACACTGCCTCCTTCAGCACTATTTTATCTCTAAGGCTCCTGCCCCAGGCACTTCACTCTGAGCATCTGTCCATCTGAAGACTCCGGTCGGTGGCGTCAGGTACACAGCAGCACTGAGTGAAAGGATTTAAGACACCCCTGCCTCAGTCAGTATCTCGTAAGGCAGAGGCAGAGGATCGTCACCATTTCAAGGCCAGTCAGGATGCCCCATCCTCACATGCACCCACTTAGGCTCCCTGCTGTGTCGGAAGTGCCCTGCCCTCTGGGGACGTGTCCCCAAAGTGCGGTCCTGTAACCACCTGTATCAAAAACATCTGAAACGCTTGCTAAAAATGCAGATTCCTGGGCCATGGCACAGAGTCCGGTTCCGAAAGTCTGAGGCGGGTCGTGAGGCTGCCCGCGAACCCACTTTGAGAAACGGCTGCTCAAGGGACTCGCACTCCTCCCACGAGATGGAATGAAAGGCGCTGGGACACCAGAAAGCCCCGCCGGAGTCTCCCCGCGGCCCTGGGACCCAGACTCGGCCCCAAGCCCGAGCCTGCAGTCCGGGCCGCCCGTGTTATCAGCGCAGCCCAGGCCCTACTTCGGGGCGCCCCGCCGCCTCCCGGGCCCGCGGCCCACCCGAAGCCCAGCTACTCCGCACGGACGGGGCCAGGTAGGCAGCCTCCCCGACTGACCTGCGGCCCGCCCGGCCCTTGGTGCGGCCGCCAGACACCGCGGGGCCCGATGCGGAAGTGAGCGCCTCCTCGGCAGCTCAGCAACTCTTGAAGCAGCGCGGTCCCAGGAGCGCCCCCGTGCGGCCCGGTCCAGCGCCGGGACCAGAGGAAGGGAGGCTCCGCCCAAGACACGCCCCGCCCTCGCCCCGCCCCCGAACTGGACCCGCCCCGCCGCTCGCCACAGCCTGCCCAGCGGGAGGGCACGACTCAGGGGGTCTTGGCACCCTGCAGGGAAAGAAAGTCCTGCAGGGAAACACGGGCGGCTGTCTTGTTCGTTCACAGGCTGCTTTAAATATTATACGAAGAAAAGAACACCGAAGTTGCAATTGCCTGGGGTCATTTAATGAATGGTAAAAGAATGAGTTAGGTCTTTGCACCCCGTGGTGAGGGCCCTTCTCTCCAAACTGGGTTGCTCAATGCCAGGATTTATTAATATATTGCACTTGGATAAGTCCACGTGTATCGTGTTTGTGGTTTACAAAGCTGTTTTACACAGAGCATTCTTGTTTAATCTGTGAGACACCCTATATTTGTATTCCCATTACAGCAAGGAAAATTAAGCAGGAGCAAACATCTATTGAACACTTCTGTTAACCTGACATTCTGCCAAGTCCTTTGCATGCACTATTTAATTTCCTCTTAACAATAACACCAAAAAAGTTCTTTCAGTTTCCAGCTGCACCCTACCTTGTGCAAGAGACTTCGCTAGGTATTTCAAGAATAAAACACAGTCCTGTTTTCAAGGTACTTTCCCAGAGTCCATAATAATTGTTTCCTAATTCCTCTCTGACTGGGTCTTAGAAGGGAATAAGCCAATGAGATGTAAACCCACCTACCCCATCAGACATTAATAGTTGGGTGAGAGAGGGAAGGTTTGTTCAACCTATAATTACTGACTACTGGCTGTGGACTAGGCCCTGGGAGTGAAAGAGTGAACAATACAATGTCCCTGACTCATGACACGGTTTAATGTCACAATTCACAATGAATATATAACAGTTATGAATTCTATTCACCAAATAACTCAGTAACACATTTATAAAGCAAAAATTGTAGGACATGTAAAGAAACATAGATAGAAATACACTAGCAATAGGAAACTTTAATATGCCACTTTTAGTACAGACCAAGTAAACAAAAAATAAGGAAGGAAAATAAATATAAATAGCATAGTCAATAAGGTAGATTTTATGGATATGTTTACTTTGTGCCCTGAAAATAGAGAATGTAAATAGTAACAAAGAAGATTAAATATTTCAGGATAAAGTTATCAAGAAATGTGCAATCCTTATATGAGAAAAACTTTAAAGCACGCTGAAAGATACAAAAATGGACTTTAACAAAGGGAAAGACATTCTATAACATCTTAAAAATATCAGTTTTCTCTAAGTTAATTTATAAATTTAACAAATACCAATAAAAATACCAGCAAGATTTTTATGGAGCTAGACAAGTTGATATTAAAATTCATGTGGAAAAATAAACATGCAAAAATAGCCAGGAAACAGTGAAAAAGAAAAGTTTATGAAGAGAGACTAACCCTACCAGACATTAAAATAAACCATAAATATGGCTTGTTTATCTACTCGTGTTACTGGTAGATGAATAGACAAATAGACCAGTGAAATAAAACATAAAGTCCCCAAAATAGATCCAAATATATATGGAAATCTAATACGTGATAAACAAGATATCTCAAATTTCTTAGCAAAAGATGGACAATTTAATAAATATTAGTGGGACAACTGGTTTGCCATTTGGAGAAAGATAAAATTAGAACCAAGTCTCACACTATAATCAAGAATAAACTCCAAATGAGCCAGGGATATAAGCGTCAAAGACGAAACCATGTAAATACTAGAAGAAAGCATGTATGATTTTCTCTACAGCCTGATATAGGAAAATACTTTCTAACTATAGCTCAAAATTCAGATGCAATAAAAAATAAAATTGATAAATTTGATTATGTTTAAAAACACTTTTGAACACCAAAAAGCAAAACAAAGACAAGAGACAAATTACTAACTGGGAGACAATTTCTCCCATCACACATATTTCTCACCTACTTCTCAAAAATATGAAAAGATAGTCAAATTTATTATAAGTTAAATGCTCATTAAATCTACCCTGATGATACTCCTCAAAATTACGACAGTTCTATGCACAAAGTTAGTCATTGTAGTATTGTTTGTAATTGCAAAATATCAGAAAAAAACTGAAGTCCTATACATAAGAGAGTGTGTGAATAAACTGGCACATCCATAAAATGGAGTACTATGAAGCTGTAAAAAAGAATGAGGTTATTTTCTATGAACTCATGTAAAGTGATTTCCAGGATATTTTGTTAAGTGAAAAATACAAAATGTAAGAGTTTTAATAGTATGTCACTTTTTGTGTAAGAAAGAGTGGGAAATGAGAAAACATACATGTAAATAATCATTTGTGCAAATACAATAGAAACACAGGAAGCATAGACAAGAAACTGGTAAGGTGAATGACCTACAATTGGCTGAATAACAACCACCCAAAATACCCAAGTTCTAACCCCAGAAACTTGTGAACGTTACCTTATATGGAAAAAAAGTTCTGTGCAGATGTCATTGAATTAAGTATCTTGAGATGGAAAGATTACCTGGGATCATCAGGCTGGGTCCTGAATGTAACCCCAAACATCCATATAAGAGGCAGGCAGGGGGAAATTTGACTACAGGCAGAAGAGAAAGCCATGTAATGGAAATAGAAAGAAGCAGAATCAAAAAAATGTTAAGCTGCTGTTTTTGCACATGGAAGAAGGGACCTTGAGTGGAGGAATGTAAGGAATGCAGCTCTAGGAACTTGGAAAAGACAAGGAAACAGATTATTCCTTCCCTAGGGCTTCCTGAGGGAGCACATCCCTGTTGACCCCTTGATTTTAGCACCATAAGACTCATTTCAGACTTCTGGCCTTCAGAACTATCAGAGAATACATTTCTGTTGTTCTGAACTATGAAATTTGTGGTCATTTGTTTCAGCAGCAATAGGAAACTAATGCAGGTGGTAAGGAATTAAGAGTGGGAAAGGAATAGAAGATGAGAGGAGTGATGCTTTTAAATACACGTATTTATAAAGTTCTGACTTTTGAAACCAGTTACCCTTTCACACACTAATATATATATATGAGTATAAGCATACAAGCATATAAAGGTAGGGGAAAACTCTAAAACTATATACAAACAGACCTAAGTAAATCTAACCATAATTTAAACAAATAACATAGTCACACTGAAGAAAGTGTGTGTGTGTGGGGGGGGGCGGGAGATTAATGAATCCAAGTAACTCAAGTAACTTTAGATCCCCAGTATTTGACCACATACCCTTAAGAGAAAGATTTTTAAAAGAATAGTTCAGTATTCAACTCCAGCTAGTTAAGTTTTCACACAGTTATACATCTTCTGCATAGCCCTGATTATGTCCCTTTTCTGATCAAAAACTTACCTGCATCCTCATTGCTAAATAATTGCCCTAACCCTCCTTTCCTACCTAACCCTCTATATCTACGTTATACCTGAACTGAAATATTCATTAGAAAATTTAACCATTCTCTTCCCTCGCCCCCATTTTATTGCATTTATCCTACCCTTCTCTCAAAACAAAATGCCCTTTCCACACACTGCAGTTCTTAATCTGGTGAAACCTTACTTGCCCTTCAGGATCCCTGGATTAGTTTCCTGAGGCTGCTGTAGCAGATCCCCACAAGCTCATGGCTTAGACCAGCAAAAATTTGTTCTCTCGCAATTCTGCTAGCCAGAAGTCCAAAATCAAGTTGTCCGCATGGCAACTCCCTCTGAAGGCTCTACTGAGAATTTGTTCCTCTCCTCTTCCAGCTTCTGGTGGCTATTGAGATTGCTAAGCGTGTCACTGCATCTCTCCCTTCTCCATCTTTCTGTGAGTCTGTGTGTCAAATTTCTCTGCCTCTCTCTCATAAGACCACTTGTGATGACATTTTAGAGCCCACCCAGATAATTCAGGATAATCTCCTCATCTCGAAATCTTTAACATTAATAAAGTCCTCAGACACTTTTTCAGAATAAGGTAATACCCACAATTATGCCATATAATATTCTCAAGTTGCGGGAATTAGGAAGTCTATATATCTTTGAGGGACCATTTTTTTATCCTACCACAACGCCCTAGGTCATATAAATTGTCCTTTATGTTGGTTTCCTGGATCTACAACCAAATAGGAGTCACTTTCTCTTCTGTTACTGTTGTGTCAATGAACACGGATTGCCTTGCGTTGTTATTAATGTTTATGTCACATCTACTAGTCTGTAAAATTCTTCATCAGCATGAACTTCCTATCATTGTAACCCCATAGGACCTAGCATCCATTAGCTGTTTATCCTTTTTTCCTAAATAATTTCTACCTCCCCTTATATAGTTCATTACTTACATATGAAAAAGTGGCAAATATGATCTTAAGAAAACCACCTATGTTATCTTAATAAAATTAAGGTGATGTGAGACGATACATGACATTTTGTGAGTTTAAAAAACTACTAATTGTCCTTTTATCTAGAAAAGTACTTTATATTTGCTTTAAAATGAACATAGCAAAGTTTTCTATAATCAACTGTTATGATAAATATTTAGCTACTTACAGGTTTCTGCGTTGGTTTAGAATAATTTGATTTGATGAGCCCATGTGTTTGGGTTTATTTATATTTATTGTCTAAATTTTTACCTTGGGAGGAATCTGCAATCTAGTGTCTTTATCTTTCCCTCTCAAATTCTGCAGTGCTTTAGTCAGCAGGCAACTCAGTTTGAAAACAGTGCTTTTTATATTTTTTTCTATGACTAACTGTATCTTAAGAGGCTGTAACTTTGTATAGTGGTTGATATAATAATGGCTGAGAGTTTTAGGCACAAACTAATTATTTCCTTTTATTTACATGACATGAGAAAGTTTTGGCCCACATCTAAATAATGTCTCTGACCTTAGTTTTTACTAAATTAAAGTATCAAACTTTTTAAAATGTAGTGATGGCTTTTTTTTAAGTAAGCAAATGTTTTAAATAGAATG